TATAATATTTTCAAAACCCATTTGATTATATGTAAACAATTTAAACTGATTAATCATTATCTTGACAACTAGTTTACTGATTCATAGGACAAAAACTTAAAATAATAAATTATTGTGCGACCTTAGACGTGAAACGTCATCTCAGAGTCGATCCTACAAGACGAATGTACGCTAACAATGTCATGCTGCTGTGCTATGCCAAAACAAAACACCATCTTCCATGTTCAGACATTGCTTCACAACTTAGAGGTTCTTATTATCCAGTGGCTCTGATTCCCTCGTGCTCCCCTTACGTGGGACACTGAATTTTTTGCATTCTACCTCAAACCAACAAAGAAAGATAGACTGATCGCTGCGTACATTTTGAGTGAACCTAAAACCATACTCAACTTTTTGCGTGCATACCTGTTTCTTACTTTCTTTAACAGTCCGTAAAAGTACATTGCTGGACGCACACATAATATACACCTTAAACCATATTGTTGGTTGCAAATAAATTTCGATACCAATGTGTGCTTGAGTGAGTGTTCTTACATTAAGTTAAGCATGGTTTTGGCTAAGTTTCGGCGCCACTTGAAAAGTACTTAGCGCTTCGTTTATATTTCTTAGTACGTCTGAGCATTCTACATTAAAAAAAAATGTTCGGATTTTTATCGTAATGCGGGTTACGACTATGTATTTTAGATTAATAACCGATTAATTATTGTTTGTTAAAATCGCCTAAATTTCAAATTGTATACCTTCTGAAAAGTTAAAAAGTCACATCAACACGTCTAAAGTTTAAAGACATTGAATCTAACACTACTTAGTTAAAATAAAATTTAGTTTTGATGTTAGTGTGTAGCAGAATAACTGTTTATTGTGTTGTTACTAGTATCTCTTGCTTATTTAACGATAAAAGTTTAATCATCATGATAACCTTCATATGTTTAATATTAATGCATTTTAATGTAATAACTTTTTACTTTTCTGTCGAAAAAAAGATACCATAAGCCAGGGGTTCCCAAAGTGTGCGCTGCGGCTCCCTGGTACGCCGTAGACCGTAGACTAGAGGGGCGCTGTAAGGTGCTCCTTTTTACCATTCTCCGGTAACTTATGTATTCCCTGGTACAAAGTAAACAAGATTTTCAGCTGTAGCTGTAATAAAGCCATTGTATTTTATTTCCTATTTTTCTTGAATAATAAATGTATTCTTATGAGTCAATATAAATATAAAAACTGGGCTTCATATTGTGGATGTTTTAATTTTGTGCCTATTTACCTAATATCATTGCACTCTATTTCGACTAGCTAGGACTCCGAGTAAAATACTAAACCTGTAAGGGCGCCGCGATCTAACAAAGTTTGGGAACCCCTGGCATGAGCAGTAATATACCTTAATGTTATTTAAAAAGTTGACTACTTTGAACTTATTATTGATAAATTGTTTTTGTGTGAGAAATTTAGTTATGTAGAATTTTAATAAACCATAAAAGCACGAAGTTTGTTTCTGTTTTGTTTACAACATGATGTGACCTGGATTAAGAAAGGAATGCCTCGGTGGTTTGGTCATGTAAAAAGAATGAACGAGGAAAGAGTGACAAAGTAAATTAATGCTGCGCAAGTGAACGGCAAAGTCGGGAAGGGACGCCTTAGAGTGTGTCAGGAGTGTTTATATTATATAATGTTTATTTCTGTAGAGAGTATTTCAGAGCTTGTTCAAGAAAATAGAGTGGGAGTAGTCAGTCTATTTAGCTTCATTATTATTAGTATTTCATTACGAATATTTGTTACTAGGGTAAAAAATAAACATTCATAATGCAAATTATCACTGGTTAATAATATAAATTAAACAACATTTTAATGTATATCGTTTATTATTGGTGTACATGGTTACGCATTACAATAATATTTATCAATTGTTAATTCATTAAATTATGGCACTTAACACAATATTTTCAATAAACAATATAATATGCAGAATGACAATGTCTTATCGAAACAATTCTATTTTCGAAATAAACTTAATAATAATATATAATATTCGGAATTATTTTTCAGTCGTTCGTTGACGTTCGCTGGAAAACGAAAGCCTCTTTTTTATTTTTTATATTTTTTTTATAGGAAAATAAAATTTGCAACTCAAAATTCAACTTATTGATCCCAATCAAAATTATAAATATTCTCTTTAAATACAATGATCATAAAATAACTTAAATCTTTTGTACCAATAAAGGACAACTAGCTCACCATTCACAATCTATGCGGTAATTTCTTAAAACGAGCGCGCAGGAAATAGTCATTTTTATAAAAAGAAAATCAATTATAATACAAACTTTTTAAAAAACTTATCACTAACAAACTTTTCTAAGTAGTACGTACATGCGCTATGGGCTTATTCATCAAAATGTTAGCGATAATTATAACCAAGATGCTTCAAGTTGTCCAAAAAGCCAAACATGCGCGTTTTCACCCAGTCAAACAAAACAAAGCATCAACGTCATCTTCACCAAACGTTTGCGTGAATAGGCCCAAAATCTCCCAAGCAATTAAGTTTTCAAGCGATTGAAGCGGACTCTGTCATTTTCTCCGCCTCAAATTTATATGTGATTATTTAAGGCATGTTTATTTCACTAACACCTAATCGATTACATATCTGGGATATTTTAGAATTATTATATTATTTGTGGAAGCATGCCCGATGCAATGAAGGCGATACAATTAATACTCCGACTGATGCAACAAGCGCACACACACGACACATAACATTAATATAACTTTATAACATACAAAAGGCCACATCACATCATTCAGTCACAAAGCGCAAATTTATCTAAATATGATAATGAATTTACAAATGTGATAATCGAATTTACGCAGCTGATGGCGCTACGATCGAACTTTTTATCGATGATTGTATACAATATTATTTCTATGGTACTTCCCTAAAGTGTCAACTTACGTTCATCCTGCACCGAGATCGTAGTGACGAGCCTCATATAATATTTTTAGTGAACGAAGTTGGCAAGAGACATCGCGCTTCGAGAAAACCGCCTTCCGTATACACTATTTTTTATCTAAGAGTATCCTACGTTGTCGCCAATTTTTGTGACTCGACAGCACGACGGGACTACGAGAGGAACTGTATCGTGCATTTCTAAAAGGTTACGTTACAATTTCGACCTTTGTTTTCTCCACTAATTTATAAATTCTCATAGAACATTATTTACAATTTATTATACACCGATATAATACGTTTACTGTGATATTATTCACGAGTACAATAGAGATTAAATTACGAGTATTCTTTGTATCAATTAATATCCAATAGTGTCCGACCCTCGATTTGAGCAATACGAATAGATACCAAAATATTATTTACCCGATGTCCGGGCTAAAGCAGTGATATGGTTCAGATATCACAATATTTCGTGTACTTAGTGTTCAGCAACAAATAATGCGTTTCAGTATCAATTAGGTATGAAGTTCGATTAAAAATGAAGTAGCGATTGTACGATGAGTGTTAATTTTTCTGTGCTGGGCTTGGGACGTGTGATTTGGATGGTCGCATGCAGTTAGCTATGATAAGAATGTTACGCACCAACACCAAAATTAACTTCCGACCACACCTACTATTATTTATTCTATGCAATATACGCAGTGTACGTAGTGTAGGTGAGCTAAGGATAGACAGTTGGAGAAGGCCATGCAGTTAGACGTAGTGCTAAGTTAAGCTTCCTACACCCAACGGTTTTAGAAATAGTATATAGAGTCGTTACCACAAACCGGATAAGGAAAGGCGTACAGGAGGGGAAAGCATGCCGTTACTTATACGAGGTACGTTAAAGCTTGCGGCAATTATTGTATATGCTTCGAGGAGAGATTTAATCTTTAAGAACCTACTCAAGTCGGATTCAAATTATAAGATCCTAGAAATATTTTCATACCTAATAAGATAATGGTTTGTATATGGACCATATCGATTAATACAGTTCGGTTTGATAATAACGCGCAACACTACTTAACCGTAGATATATTTTCTGATGGTAAATTTGGTATAACTTTATATACACGGATATACACTGAGTAAATATCGATAAGTACTAACAACACTATAATACAAACATCGGTATACTCTAGACATCAATTCCGATCGATCTTATCTAAAAACAAATAAGACGTTTTCTCTCAGCGGCGATGAACTTTATATGTATCTCTATTATACCTGATCAGCTTATTAATAAGAGATTTATGTCCTTAAAATAAATAATTTATCTATCCGTATCACAACAATTGCACGAAATATTTACTGATAAGGTTTCGGTACATATATCTAAATGCGTCCTACTTTCCCATTCTCAGTAAATATTCCTACAATTTGTGTATTACTTACAACGATTTTAATATACAGTCCCAAGATAATAGAGCCGTGCCTTAAAACATAAGACTAGATTTTACTACAGAATTAGTTGTGAGATTATTTCAGTGATGTCGTTCATTTCTCTGACGGAGACTTCTATGATTCACGTCCAAACACAACTATTATATTATTACATAAAATACTGATAGTTCCAATTAAAAAATAAATACAAAAAAATGTCAATTTTTGAAGCGTATTTGATACGACACGAACCACAGAAGTCCGTGTTTTAAACAAAAGGGGTGAAATTTGAGATAACAAGAAAATGGGTAACATTGAATTAAAAAAATCCTAAAAATCGAAAAAGATAAGACTCTCTAACAACATATAATATATACAAAACCAATGACCAGCAGTTTTTCATATCACATCAGCCCTCGCAGGGCGATTCACATGCAACACCACTCCACAAAAGTCTCTATTGAATTGATCCATTTTTTATTGCACATACACAACACCTTCAAAGAACGCATGATTGGCATGAAGTACGTTACATAACTTTCACACACTGATTTATTTTCAATATTTAATGTCTGCCTAAGTTGGCAGTCATCCGCAAAGGCCGCCAATGCGGCTGCCAATCATGCTACGGTTGCCAATATCAGAAGTCCTCGAACAGCACGGCGTCCCGGGGTACGAGCCCCTTCTGGTCTCCGCGACAACACAATATATACTGGTCGTCTACTTCCAAAATCAATCGGAGACGCTCACCTTCGTTGAACGCCAGGTGACCGGAATCCGACGGTAGTCGATGCCAAAGCGTTCTTACGTACCTGTTGAATTATGAAGAAAACTGTTAATATATATAAACTATAGAGCAACACGGGCTATCAGCGGACCGAAGGGGAGTAGCCGTAGCACTTTTTCTCGATACAGAACTGTGTGTCATTTTTTGTGGGAGAAAAACTGCGCACACAAAACAATCGTCCAAAACTGACAATTTTACACACCCATACATTATAACAGTATCGATCGGTGATAGCGACGACTCGTATCACTGGCTCGACCGATCCGCATATTGTATGAGGGGATCCGCATATTGTATAGCTGTCTGTGTTGGGTAAGCAAATCCGATACAACACGACCGTTATTATTGTAATTTTTAAGTCTATAAGGAAGTAAACAGCAATAATGTGATTAAAATTACTCATACTCGTATATGATAGGTAACGGTAATCTTTTTGTAAATTTAACATGACAGGTCTCTGTTTGCAGCGAAAAATTGGACAATTCGGCATTTTTGTAAGACGTCGATTCAGCCGCGCAAGTAGATTTAGTCTAGTGAACAGTACGGCTGCAACTACAACTAATAATAATTAGAAATAAATGCGATGTGTTTGTGTTTCTTTACGTTATACGATACTTACTTTAAGATTGGGTAATTGTCACTCAAATTTAATACTAATAGTTTTTGTATGGCAATAGATGATAGTAATAGATGATGGCATAGTTTCTTATAGTCAGACGTTCATAATATTATTTATCTATTTGAAATAAAAATAAAACTGATAACTTTACGAACTTGACGACTTTATGAAATATCAACGGCCATCGGTACTAATGCCAATTTGCCTTAATCGCAAAATTATATTATATAAATTAATATTATTAACCAAATTAAATATATTAATAACATGTAACTAAATATATTAATAACATGTAACAGCCCAACTGTTGATTTAAGCTTTAATGATTAATTATAATGTAAAGTGGACTCGTTTCATAAACGAAGGACTGTTATCATACAAGTATTTTATAATGTTTTAGGATAATCGCTTCAAGAAATAGTAGAAACATCTCGGTGATTGGGAAGTTTTCAAAAGAACATCATCAAATCAAATATTACGAAATTTCCTGTAGAATAAAATTCTAATATGATTTTATGTTTGAACTACCTCAATTATTGGAATATTTTTCACTTCGGGTGAAAGGCATGAATTATTTTAATTACATAATTTTAAATATCTTAACAAATTAAAAATGAATAACCGCCTAGCAAACTAGAATAAGTTTATATTTCATTTGTAAACGACACGGTGCTTACAGATCCATAAAATATATATATGTATTTAGACAAATTTACTTGTGAGTAATATTATAGACTTGATATAGTTATTTTGTTAAGAAAATTAAACTGTAAATTAACGTTTTAGTATTTTCTTCAAGTGATACAATTGAGAAGCATTTGCGTCATCGTGTCAATTGGGAATGATTAGTAAAACAAGAACAATAGTCAATTCAAGAACAAAAAAGTACAATCAATTTAATGAATTCACTGTGTAAAATCATTGACGTCAAAACATTAGGTACTGATAAGGACGCATATTTACCGAAGCGTTCTAAGTAAATCATATTCGTACTCTTCGAAGTTATCGTTTTAATTTCTACTGTAATAGGTACAGCGTCATCATCGTTGGGTCATCATCGTTGGAGCCACACGTAAGTGTGAGTAACGATCCAAGAGCGAGTCTTATCCGACACTATTCCGAAGTTATTCCGGATGTCAGTCTGAGCGAGATTAGAGAGACTCTCCAGCACCTTAAAAACGGCAAGACCCCAGGCGAGGATGGAATTACAGCGGAGCTTCTGAAAGCGGGTGGAAAACCGGTACTTGAAGTCCTTCAGAAGCTCTTTAATTCCGTCCTCCATGGTGGCATTACACCGGAGGCGTGGAGCAGAAGTGCGGTGGTCTTGTTCTTCAAGAAAGGCGACAACGCTCTCTTGAAGAACTACAGACCAATTTCCCTTCTGAGCCGCGTCTACGTGCTGTTTTCGAGAGTCATTACGAATTGTCTCGCGCGCAGACTTGACGACTTCCAGCCTCCCGAACAAGCCGGTTTCCGAAAAAGCTTTAGCACTATAGACCACATACATACCCTTCGGCAAATTGTACAGAAGTCCGAGGAGTACAATTTGCCACTATGTCTGGCGTATGAGGACTATGAGAAAGCCTTTGATTCCATCGAAACTTGGGCGGGGCTGCAGTCCCTTCAGCGATGCCAAGTTGACTGTCGGTATATCGAAGTGCTGAAGTGCTTGTACAGTAGGGCTACGATGGCTATCCGAGTACAGAACCAGAGTACGAAACCTATCCAATTGCAGAGAGGTGTAAGACAGGGTGACGTTATATCCCCGAAACTCTTCACCGCTGCATTGGAAGACGTTTTCAAGCTTCTGGACTGGAAAGGATACGGTATTAACATCAATGGCGAGTACATCACTCACCTTCGATTTGCCGACTATATAGTCCTTATAGCAGAATCGTTGGAGGACCTAAGCACTATGCTCAATGACCTCAATGGTGTTTCCCAACGGATAGGTCTTAAGATAAACATGGACAAAACAAAGATCATGTTTAATGTCCATGTCACACCTATGCCGGTAGTTGTTGGGAGCACTAAGCTCGAAGTTGTTGACGAGTATGTTTACCTGGGACAAATAGTCCGACTAGGTAAGTCCTACTTCGACCAAAAGGTCAATCGACGGATTCAACTCGGTTGGGCGGCGTTCGGGAAATTACACCACATCTTCTCGTCAGGTATACCTCAAAACTTGAAAACAAGACTGTACAACCAGTGCGTGTTGCCAGTGATGACCTATGGTACTAAGACGTGGTCCTTCGCTGCTGGCCGGATGAGGAAGCTCAAGGTCGCTCAGCTAACTATGGAGAGGGCTATGCTCGGAGTTTCTCTGCGTGATAAACTTAGAAATGAGGATATCCGCAGTAGAAGCAGAGTGACCGACATAGCCCAACGGATTAGTAAGCTGAAGTGGCAATGGGCCGGCCATATAGCTCGAAGAACCGACAACCGTTGGGAAAAAAGGTTCTCGAGTGGCGGCCTCGTACCGGCGGACGAAGTGTAGGGCGTCCCCCCACTAGATGGAGTGACGACCTGGTAAGATATGCAGGAAGTCGATGGATGCAGGTGGCTCAGGACCGTGCTTTGTGGCATTCCTTGGGGGAGGCCTATGTTCAGCAGTGGACTTGTGAAGGGCTGTAATGAATGAAAAATGAAAAAAGGTACAGCGTACTACGAATTGTTACTTGCGGGTCTGTGTATGCTGTGATTGTCCCCATGTTGAGACATGTACCCTGCATCTGAGTATGGCTCCGAGCTTATCGCACAAGTGAATTATTTATTAACATGTACACTTAGCACAATAACTTTTCATAAGCATTTGATTGCAGTACACAGTTTTTGAAAATTCTCTCTGATCGAATCGGCGGGCATCGTGGAGCTACATACTGTACATACATCTAGATAGATAATTATATAATTGAGTAATGAAAATGGAAACATTTTCACCATAGATAAGGTTTCATATAGTCATGCTGCAGCTATATCAGTAGTATAGTTGTAGCACGAATGGGTCGGCTCGACCGTGGAAGAACCACGCTCTCACAGAATACCAGCGTAAAATAGCAGCTTAACGCTGATGTGTTTCGTATGGTGAGTGTAGAGAATCGGACACTTTTTACTGGAAAAGAGGCATTCCATCTTAGTTCTCACGGGTGACAACGCATCTACATTTTGATTCATTATTGAGGATAGCTGTAGATGTCTGTGGGTCACGCCAATGGTGACGCAATCCATAATTTGTTTACAAAAAAATTTGTTTATAGTTAGGTCTTATCAGATGTCGCTACTTTGGAAAAATAAAATGAAAGGAGAATAGGATTTTTGGGCCTGAATTTAACTAATTGGTTTATACTTTAAAACATTGGCCATATATTTCTTAAGTAAAATACAAAAAAGTAGCTCTTTTTACAACCTATATTTCGAAAAAAACAATAAAATAAGAAATGAGTTAGAGAATCGATTGTAGTGTATTATTTATGGCAATAAATCAATTACCATAAAAAATACACTAGTGAAGTTCTCGTTTCTGAACGTTATCTTTCAATAGAGGACTTCTCATTTCGAAACTTGACAGTCCAAACTTAAAACTATTTACTTAAAAGAAAAAGACAGATTTTCGATTCGATTTGAAACGAGCGCAATATAACCGATTCTCGATTAAATTGAGCATTTTAATATCTATTTTAGATTATTTTTCTATGTTAACTAGGGAGATAAAAAATTTGCGTACATATCTACAAAATAATAATTAAAAATACAAAATATCAAAATTCCAATAAGTAACAGTTACAACAATAATTCAAGTAATCGATCTCAGATCTATATCCCTTGACTGACTTTCGTTAATCGTTTCACCATTTCGTTTCATTATTAACCACAGCATTTTTGGTGATTTTATACTGATCCTGCTTTTATATCTTTAAGTAATTATAGTGAAAAATAGCCTGTTACAGTATAATAACAGTGAAAAATCACCTGTTACAGTGTAGGTAATAGATAATCTAACTTTTACTTATTCTACAATAACTCAGCTCCTAGATTGACAAATCTTGCCAGATTTTCAGCTATGAATTGTTTATATATATGTATAAGCTTTCAAATGTTCCTACTTTCATTTTGTTAACACTTGGGCCCAAGAATGTATGGAGACGTCTCCTTCTCCTTTACTTACAAAATAAAAATAAGTGCACCAAAAATTATTGGTGATGTTATGTATTAATAGCAAATTATCATTTTAACATAAAAATAGGATTAAAATATTTATCGAATCAATCGATAAATACTTTAATTATGATACTGGCAACCATCATATTGTAATAAAAAAAAATGAAATAATTGTCATACTAAATTGTCATTGTTTCAACATAATGTGTCCTTGTTTCATTGCAAATACCCTTTTTATATATAATTATCTCAGAAATACAAGTGTACTTATTGAAACTATTTCATCATCATTACAGCCCTTCACAAGTCCACTGCTGAACATAGGCCTCCCCCAAAGAATGCCACAAAGCACGGTCCTGAGCCACCTGCATCCATCGACTTCCTGCATGTCTTACCAGGTCGTCACTCCATCTCGTGGGGGGACGCCCCACACTTCGCCTACCGGTACGAGGCTGCCACTCGAGAACCTTTCTTCCCCATCGGTTGTCGGTTCTTCGAGCTATATGGCCGGCCCACTGCCACTTCAGCTTACTAATTCGTCGGGCTATGTCGGTTATTCTGGTTCTACTGCGGATATCCTCATTCCTAAGTTTATCACGCAGAGAAACTCCGAGCATAGCCCTCTCCATAGCTCGCTGAGCGACCTTGAGCTTCCTCATACGGCCAGCAGTGAAGGACCACGTCTGAAACTATTTACCTACTTTTAATATTAAAAGTATAAATTAGTATTACTAAATGTAAGAAAGTGTTTCAGTAAGTATACGAATTAAAGAACATAATAGTTTAAATATGATGTATATGTCGTAGGATAATCTGATAACCGAATTTTCCGCAAAAATCTAGGGATATCGCAAAAACACTGATAATTAGACAATGGCTATAACATTTCTCAATCTTACTGAAAATAGGAGTTTTGCCAAAACACTGGTAGCTTTAGAAACTTTGAATATACTTAACTCTGATTGGCTTGATTTTGGCTTATAGCCCAATTCTTATTGTGATTGATTCCTAGTTTTACCTCGTAGGTTTGAAGTATTTTGTCATGTCACGACGTTTTTGGGAATGGTGGAAGTAATAAAATATGTTTACTTATTAAAGAAATTATAAAAGTTAACATTTTGGTGTTTTATTTGGTGCAAGAGCGAGTGAAGCGAGCTCGGGACTTGGGGCACCCTGACTCGGACAGATTAGGTTAGAAGAGGAGGGCGGGGTTCATTGAGCGAGCGAAGCGAGCGAACAGACCCCTCCATCCCCTTCGTGGTTATTTTTTTATAAACCATCTAGAAATAGGAGTTCCACATAGCGGGATAGCGGGGCTCCGTCGACTACACTTTCGTATTACTTTGGCGGAGGAAGGACGCCCCCCTCCCTTCCTATTAAAGCGATTTTTCTCAGAAAACATTAAACAAAAATTTGATAAAAATAAATATAGGCATGTCCGGCGGGGAAAAAAGGTGGAGGGCGACAGAAAGGATTGACAAGTGAAACGTCAAGTTGTCAATTCACCACCAATCAGATGAGGCGTTGTTTTGGGCGAATCGAATGACCAATCATTGTGCTTCGTTTATAATAGCCAACGATTATTTTCGCAATCTTTACGAGGGCGGCACTGAAAATTTCGGGAATCAAGGAAGTGACACAACATTACCATTTAAAAATGTATTTATTGCTTTTCGAAGTATTCTCCGCGAAATTTGACACATTTTTCCATACGATGGAACCAATCATTGAAGCAACCATTCCATTCGGAAGTTGGGGTCTCCAAAATGGCTATTTTGTGGCCGTCCACAGTTTTTCATGTGATGAAAATCTCTGTCCACGCAATTTATTCTCTATTTTAGGGAAAGTATAGAAATCATTAGGGCTTAGGACGGGGCTGTACGGCGGATGGTCTAATAATTCTATGTTTTCTTGCTCTAAAAACTCTTTTGTTCTGTGTGCGGTGTGAGAACTCGCATTGTCGTGATGGAGGATGATGAGGCGGTTGCAGTTCTCTTTACGGAGTTCAGAAACGACCTGTGGCAAACAAATGCTAGCATACCATTCTGCATGAACCGTTCTTTGTCCCTCAAGAGGAATAGTCGTAACATGGCCGGTTTTGGAGACAAACGTGGCCACCATTTTTTTTGCAACACTCCGTGAACGAACAATTTTTGTTGGCTTTAAACTCATTTTCGAACACCCAAACTCGTGACTGGTTTTTTGTTTCGGGTTCGTACGCGTATATCCAGGATTCGTCACCTGATACGATGTTGTATACATCATTTGAGGATTCTGCGTGGAATTTTTCGAGAGTTCTGACGCACCAAATAACGCGAGCCGCTTTTTGCTCTTCACAGAGCGAATGCGGTATCCATCGGGAAAACAACTTTTTTACACCTAATTGTTCATGCAAGATTATTTGTATTTGACTCATGCCAATGTCTAAAGTTGCCTGAATTTCGCGGTATGTCACATGTCGATCTTCCTCAATCATCTTACGCACAGCATCAACGCTTTCTTGGGTGACTGCAGTTTTTGGATGACCTTGACGGGGAACATCACTGAGCTTGACACGTCCTCGTTGAAATTCAGCAAACCAGCGATAAATTGTGGTTTTGGATGGGACTTCACCACCAAATGCAGAAATCATCCGGTCAACACACTGTTTTTGTGTTAAACCACTTCGAAAGTCATAATAAATCATCGCTCTTGAATTTTCTCGAGTCAATTCCATTTTCTCAACGACTAAACAAGTTTGACAAAACCTTGTGACAAGACCGAGAATCGTTTTTTAAATAAATAAATGATATTCGATTTATAAAATCAAGGAGTTTTCAATTAAAAAGATTTTAATATGACAGGAACAGTGGAAATATTCCATTCCCGATACTTTTAGTTCAGCCTAGGTACTAAAGCGAGTGGCGTTTTTACAAAAACCCCTATATTTTTTCAGTAAGATTGAGAAATGTCTAATTATCCGTGTTTTCGCGATATCCCTAGATTTTTGCGGAAAATTCGGTTTATCAAATTATCCTACGACATATATAATATAGCTATATATAGCGAATTAGTTCGGATTCAATGTAGGAAACGCTAGTAGTTCTATTTTGTCTGCAATAAAATATCTCTATCTGAGAGGGCTCTTTTTTCCTGTATATATTTATATGATTATGCGTGCGTAATAAATTCAATTATTTCCAACTAGCGACATCTGGTGGTTGTAAAACCACTACCTTTCGTTGTCGGAGTAGTAGGTACGGTCCGCACGTTCTATCTTGGCCGGGCTGAAGTTAGTCGCGAGTGGCTGCGTAAATATAGTTTTTGGGGACAAATGGTAACAAAAGGATAGGGAGGGTAACTAAAACTAAAGGTTACAATGATTTTTTATATTTTTTTTTTTTAAAAACGTTACCCCCACACTAGGATTTTTTCCTGTGTCGTGGAGGCAGTTTACAGACATAAATTGCACAAGGACAAACATCCAGACCCGGAACAATTATTTGTAGGCCATACAAATACTCGTTCCGTGCAGGATTCGAACCCGCGGCCCCCAGCGCAAGAACTGATTGCTAAGCCACTGTGCCACGGAGCCGTCAAATGATGTAATTATGTATTAAGTATTGAATGTAGTTACTTGTGCTTGGCGGCGGCGGAGTGAGCACGCGCGGCGGAGGAGGAGGCGGCGCGGCGCGGCGCGGCGGGCGGCGCGGCGCGCCCGTACGGCAGCGACGACGGGCGCCGAGCCGCGCCCCCCGCGCCCCCCGCGCCGCACGCCGCACCGTCCACGCGCGACGTCCTGCAGACACGCGTCAACTTTACCACGAGGTAGCACGCCCGACATATCCCTTCGATTTTATAGTCTATTCGCTTAGATACAGTCGCTGTTGTGTCGCTCGCCTTGGCACATACCGCATCTTGTCAAAGGCGTCGCCATGACATCACAGGTCGCCGCGTGCGGCGTACACCCGGAAGAGAATTAGCCATTTTAAAACGAAGCACCGTAGTTCTTTGCTACCTAACTTGTATTTATTATTTATATTTTTATTTTATTACAATAACAAATCTTCGAATAGAAAAAGATTTATATATAAAACAAAAAAAAAATAACAAAATAAAAGCAAAATAATAAGTGCGCCTCCGGGTGTACCGACACTATCTTAGTGAACAGACTACATCGCATAAGAGAACAACAAAAGACTTCCATGTATACTACTAGAGCGACAATTCAGAACAAAAACTGTGTCACACATGTGATTCTCGCGGGCGCGGTATAAAGTTACATAACGTAAAATCTAGCAACTTTGACATTTTTGGAAGAATTTAAAAATCAACCAATGTTCCATTAAAAAAGGTACTCTCAGAATGGGTGTCAATGTAAACAATACTTGAGACTTAGGAAATGACAAAATTAACCTTACTATGTGGCGAATTTGCTCTCTTCTCTTATCTTAGTCACATTGAGAATTGACTGTAACTTAGTGCGCAGTTTGTTAAGGCACGCAGAGCCCGTCGAGTAGTATACATGAAAGTCTTCGTTGACATAATTTTCTGCCAACAAGGCGGCGCCACTTAGAAATGAAGTGAAATTTTTAACACATTTCATGGATGAGGAGTTAAATAGTTAGTAAATTATCTTGTTTGAAATATTTGTGACATTTTATATTAATTTGATTAAAGTAAATAAAACTAAGTCTATTCCTAAAAGTACAGGAATTAAAAAGAGAGTTAATAAATGTGCATTAAATTAGAAGCAACCACTGAGGCATTGTTTTGTGTATATATATGTATGTATGAAAACCGAATCGAAAAACTTTTATTTGAAACGCAACTTTTTATTTATAGTAACACTGCAACAAATAACTTTACCTTAGTCCCATTTAGCGATCTCTGTTAAGCGGAAAATTATTTAGCCTTCTTTACAAATAGGCATGTTGGCACCAGCGTTAATACTTCATTAATTACAGTGGTAGAGCCACGCGGCAGCTTTTGCTGTCGCACGGATGGGCCAGCTCGAACCGGAGTAGTACCACGATCTCACAGAAAACCAGCGTGAAGTAGAGGTTTACCTCTGCGTTTCGCTTGGTGAGTGCAGGTGGCCGGAGGCCTTTTTTACTGGAAATAAGGCATTCCATCTTAGTCCTCACGGGTGACAACGCATCTACATTTTGATTTGTAACAGAGGATAGATGTAGATGTCTATGGGCCGCAGCAACCACTTACCATCAGGTGGACTGAGTGCTCGTTTGTCACCCTTATCCTATAAAAAAATCTACCGAAAGGCCACTGGTCTCTTTAATTAAGGGAATATTTGCAGTAGCCACGGTTTTTTCTGCCGACTTCCAAAAAAGGAGACGGTACTCAATTCGACTGTATGTTTTATTATGTGTGTTACCTCATAACTTTTTACTGGGTGAACCGATTTGGATGATTCTTTTTTATTTGAAAGCTGGTATTTCTCGTGTAGTCCCATATTAATTTGATCAAGGACAGACCAATAGTTTTTGAGTTATTCTTAATAACTCATATTGAAGCCGGCTGTACAAAATTTTAAATTATATTATTAATTATTTGAGTTTGTTGTCCCCTGTTTTATATCAGTCTGTGGCTTCTTACACCTCTTACGCTTACGCCATCCACAGGATGATATGGGATAGACAGTTGGCCAAAATCGGACAGTAAGACATCAAAGAGTAGCTAGGTATATAGAGCACAATCTACATCCAGAAAAAAGAACATTATTTAATAGAGAAACTATCATCATGACTTGGATTTGCCTCATTAGACTTTTTTTTATACGATAGGGTGACAAACGAGCACACAGTCCACCTGATGATAAGTGGTTGCTGTGGCCCATAGACATCTACATCTATTCCCGTTTGCGAATCAAATGCACATGCGTTGTCACCCGTGAGGACTAAGACGGAATGCCTCTTTTCCAGTAAAAAGGGTCTCCGTTTCTATACACTCACCATACGAAACACAGCAGTATTAACCTGCTATTTTACGTTGCTATTCTGTGAGGACGTGGTCCTACCCCGGTCGAACCGACTCATTCGTGCTACAACTATACTATTAATATAGCTGCAGCAAGACTACCACGTACAAACTTGAAACCTTAAAAACCATTGGTAGCCAGCCAGTTTCGTTCCGTTTCAAAAACAAACGCGGGATAAGTATTTGTTTCGCGTCTGTACGTACGCTATTGCGACACTAAAGAAAATACAAGAACTATTTAGGAAGGAGTTTAATCACGTACTCTTTAGTCTGCTTCTTAGTCTGGCCTTTGCCATTTACAACAGATCAGTAAGAGTCTATACTCTTCGCTTGCAATTGGCCACGAAACAAAAAAGTTATTTTTAACCGATTTCAAAAAGAAGGAGGTTCTTAATTCGAGCGTATGTTCTTTTTTTATGTTACCCGATATCATCGCAGATGGTGAATGAATTTTGATGATTGATATAATTCAAGGGTGGTCCCATATAAATTTGGAGAAAATATTCCACACCTAAAGGTAGCAAATAAATAACTTCTTTTTTAGCAATTTGTAGTCGGTTTTTAATTTTTGTTAAAAGTTATAATAACTGACTTGATACTGCTATCGTATTAGAAACTGTTTTCACGTCAGGCTTATGTGGATGGCCTAATATAACTAAAATTGCGCATTCCTTTCATACTGTATCATTCGGCATTAGCGTTGGGCTATCATAAATATTTAACCAGTGAATGTAATCAATCAACTAGTGTCCAGTTCTGCCTTATTAGACAAAAATGCAACACTAAAATCAACGAGAGCAGCTCCTTCCGTTTCCAGAAAAGATCAGTGTCGGCTACACGGGTCAGCATTAACTGGTCAGCGCTGGACTAGCTTTATAGCACCTACATTTTAATATCAACATAATTAACGAAAAACGGATGGATGAATTTATTTTAAGTGTATGATGCAATATCTATAGTCTATACTATTTGTGTTTATGTGTTAATGTGTGTAATGAGGTAGTTTTGCAAACTTAATAATGGATATTATTTATCATGAATTAATTAGTTTTTTTTATATGAATCAATGAAAAAATAACCTTAAATATTTGTTTAATAACATTAATTTTAAGAAAAATAAACATTTGCAAAATATAAATAAATTAACCACACTTATTGAAATATATGTATGAGCATGCTGTTAACCAACGTTAGCATGGAAATCAGCACACCATGTTAGTCGTGTTAATTCTGTCCCATCTAAATATACATACGGCGATTTCTTAGCATTGGACGTGTTTTTAGCAACAGCGTCGCTTGAGTTTGTCACTCGCAATTTGTTCGCGATGTTTTTCCTCTCCGGCTTCTCTTGCGTCACTCTGGAGCTATGTGCGTATATAGTAAAGCGATTACACGACGGGATTTAGACACAAAGGACTTTGTCATACACTATGACTGACCTTATTATTATGTGACAAGTTCATATGTAAAATCATCTTATTCGGAATATTTGCCCACAAATAGATCGCTGTTAGCTTTTTTACTTATACTTAGTAGAAATAAAATATAAAAAAAGGAATAACTATAGCAAAAGATCATAAAACTATTCAATTATTTACTCAACTAGTTTTGGATTTTAATAATAAAACATATTAAAAGCATAACTACATAAAAATCAGCTTATTACTTTAGACCAACGAAGAAAGGTATACAGAACGCTACGTACATTTCCAAATCAAGCCAAAACCTTTCTTAACTTATTGCAAGGACGCGCACTCACGCACACTAAATATGCATCTAAATCATTTGCACCCCACAACATGGTTTTAGGTGCATATGTGTGCGTCCAGGAATGGACTTTTACGGGATAATAAAAGGAGAAAGATGTATGCGTGAATGCACAGTAGTTGAGCATGGATTTTACATCACTTGAAATTTACAGTGTTCGGTCTACCTTTATCTTGGACTAACCGTACAATAACTAATTTAATGACCCAAAAAATGTTTCAATGTGCAAATTATTCGAAAGCACAAGAAGAGTGAAGTGTCCACCACCAAGTGCTATCCACAATAAGTTATTCTTAATTTACAACATAATCATATTCTATCCAACATAAGAAAGTCCTTTAAGAAAAGTAAATTTACTTATTCGATGACATTTCATTGTAACTTATTCTATTTGAACTCCTTTCTTACTTTCGAGAATTTTTCAGCACCCATGATCACGATTAATGCAATAAAATCAAATATATTCAACGTGTATATGCATTACATTAAAAAAAAATTTCCCGTTAACAATTTAACTTTTAACGTTTAACATTTTTTTTAATTTTTTATGTCGATCAATACAGAGTTAGAGATATTCTTAGAGTAATTACTTACATTTACTCTGAGAAAACATTACATTAATTTACATTTTATAAACAAAATGTCATCGTAGACCTAGAACATTAATCAGCTGGACTTTCTATGTTAAATAAAGTATAACGGTCATTCCGTTCTATTCCATCAATCACATCTGTTATTTTTATTTATATTCTTAGCAAACTATAAACGTAATTATTTTTTTGTGATTTACCTATTAGCTGGCTGCGGTGGTTTTTTTGTATTAGTTGTCCCTCGAGCTGAAGTTGACCGAGGAGTAGATGTTGTGGGTGACGTGCCTTTACGGACAGGAACCGGGATACCACTGCAATAAACCAATTTTAAAATAATTATTAATTTAGTAATGAATTTTCAAATCGCGCGATCTGAATGCAATCTGAATGAGTTGGCGAAACACAGCGTTAGCTAAAGTACCAATAGATTCGTTAGCCTTTGATTATTTTACGAGTATATGCGGTAGAAGACCGATTTTATTGTTGTTCAAAATGTCTATCAAATGCCAGAATTATTTTGACTTTTCAAAACACTTTTCATTCGACTTATAAGTGTGTCTACATAATAACATAAATCACAAAAGAACGAAAAGAAAAAAACAATCATACTGAACACGGACAAAAATCCACGTCAAATGATACGTCTGTTATCCTGTGAGTTTGTCAACGCTGCGGCTGGCGAGCGGCCAGCGCGTGCCACAGTTCCAAAAGGTCGCATCCCATTCTGAACCCAGTTTATACATAAGTATTAAGATATTATATTATAGTATTGTGGGAGACATACCAAAACACATTAGGACAGGAAACTTTGTGTATATTGAGATTTAATGTAAGCATCGTTGCTCGTATATTAACTATAAACCGGCTAAGTGCGAGTTGAACTCAAGCAAGAAGGGTTTCGTATCATCGTACAAAATTTAATACTATGTGTGCAAAAAAATCGCGTTTCTAGTAGGGATTCCCCTTTAATTTTTAATTTATAGCGGCAACAAAAATACACATTCTGTGAAAATTTCAACTGTCTACCTATTACGGATCATGAGACACAGTCCGCTGACAGACGGACGGACAGACGGATGGACAGACAGGCTTAGTAATAGGGTCCCGTTGATTACCCTCAAAAGATCCGATAATATAGACATTTATCTTCGTTCGTTTGGTTCGTATTACTGTCAACTATCACACACCCTGTTATCTTGTACTAATATACTGTGGCAGTTTGATAATTTCGTGTTGACCCATTTTCTGACCACAACGAGTAATCGTGTTACTTTTTTCTATAAAATCTATTGCTTCGATAAAAATTTACCGCTATCAACGACACTAATTTATTTATAGCGAATAGACCAGATATTGACCAAAGTCATACTGATTAAAAAATGGCACTTCTTCATTGCCACTATATATCGTTAAATAGCGAAACTGAACAATAAAAAATTAAAGTTTCAATCAATATAGGTCGCATAGCTGTGCAAAGGCCTCTTATTTCTGAGAGTGTAATGGAGAAATCAGCCCGTCTTTCCCCATTGAGAATAATATTTAAATGACACACTAGAATATATAAAATATTTCTTATTCATTGCTTTTTTTTTATTTTGTCATGAAATTTATCAGACGCAGGCGTTGAAAACGCGTAATAGAACTTCTAAGCTATATACTTAGACTTACTAAAATATCAGTAATGACAGAGGGTATTTTCTTTAAGCATAGAGAGTAAAAATTGTCAAGTACACCAAAACTTTGAGTTGTTATGTGACTGGAAACGCTAGTTAAAGAACTGTTAATGTGAATGTGTACTTAACTTTTTATTACTTTGACTTACATAATTATTTTTTATAGGCTAAGGGTAACAAACTAGCACACAGTCCTTCTGATGGTAAGTGATTGCTATGGCCCATAGACATCTACATTTTATCCTCGTTTGCGAATTAAAATGCAGATGCGATGTCACCCGTGAGGACTAAGTAAGATGGAATGCTTCTTTTTCAGTAAAAAGGGTCTCCGGTTCTCTACACTCACCATACGAAACACAGCAGTGTTAAGCTGCTATTTTACGCTGGTATTCTGTGAGAGTGTGGTCCTTCCCCGGTCGAGCAGATCCATTCGTGCTACAATTACACCAGTAATATAGCTGCAACATGGTATCAATCAAACGACTCATCCAATTGTTTTTAAATGAGAGGAGGCAAACGAGCATGCGGCTCACCTGACGGTAAGTAACTACCGCCGCCCATTAACAACTGCAACACCAGGGCAATTGCAGATGCGTTGCCGGACTTTTAAAAAAGAGTAAGCTCTTTTCTTGAAGGTCCCTAAGTCGTATCGGTCCGGAAAAATCGCTGGTGGTAGTCGATTCCACAAGGAAGTTGTACGAGGAAGAAAACTTTTTGTAAATCGCACAATGGTGGACCGCCTAGCATCTAGATGGTATGTCATCATCCAATCCAATGCCGTGGGTGTTGTAAGAGGCAGCAGACTTCCTTATTACAAGTCAAAATAATTAAAGAATGCGGTTACCAAATCGCTTGACAGGTGTGACGACTATGGCAAATATTCTCCTTTATGAAGCAATCTATGGGAGAACCCTATGTTCAGCGGTAAACTTTTAATAGTTTCTAATGAATGAATGAAGTCAAGTCTGAACTAGCAATGTGTTGCGTTTCCTAGCATTTTTTTTATCGTCAAATACCTGGACGACCTGCCGGTACTATTTATCAAACTAATGTCAACTCTTATTTCTGTTGTCTTCGTTACAATAATTTTAAAAGTTTTGTAAAATTGATAATGTAAGAAATTATCAGTCTTTCACTTGTTTTTAGTTGTTAAAGTTAAATCATATAAGTTATAATAAATAATTATTTACCGTTGCGCGTTTTTAGCTGGCGATGCCATATTCGGTGCTTGCGGACGTACTGGCGACGACACTGGCCTCGGGATTTTCGAGCCTCGTGTTGTCGCCGGAGACGTTTCCCCTGGGGAAATGTTAATTATTAATAAATTAGTGTATAATTAAAATATGCAATAAAAAATCAGATAGTTAAATTGTTTACACAATTATGGCTAAATTAGATCATTAGTCATCATTAGTGTTCATCATTAGTCTTAGGAACAAATAAGATAAGTTGAAGTATATTGTGACAATAGATAGGAATACTACACATTAAGGAGTTTCCCTGACCAAATAAGCTTGAGCATGCAGTGCACTGCCGCCCGCACTCTACGTACCTATGCCCATTTATCATAGAATTCACACAATTTTTGGAATTAATTTTAATTAAAAAAGAAAAGCGAACTTTAAAAATTTAATAATACGTGAAGAATATAGATTTTTAAATTATCTATCCATTAGTGTAATCCTCAAATGATTAGAGCGTTGTCTTTAGCAACAGATGCATGTAATCAATAATTTCAATCATTTTTAAAAGTAGATTTTAAATGTATTTATAACACATAAAAGCAATTTAGAACGTGGAATGTGATGATAGGATATCGAACGTTAATAATGTGCTTTTAGATGTAGTTTATTTCTCATAACTAATGAGATAATAGTCTCTGAACAAGGAAGAAAAACGCACTATCGCAAGGTTTTGGTCCGGGTATCGCCTTAAACAACAATGCTGGAGGGGATAACCGCGGTGTAAGGACGCCGTAAAGCACTCGAAATGTCGAGAATTAATAATCTGCTAAAATCAAAAGCGACGAAATCCATATAATTAGTTATATTAAATTCAAATGCATTATCACCTACGAGCTGAAAACTAAAATGTAATGTCGCAAAGCGTGGCATTACAAAACTTAATAGCTCTTCATACACTTCAAATATGAAAATGATAGTCAGTGCACTACCATCAGACGAACGTAAGAGTGCACCTACTAGGACGGACTCATAGATATTTAGAATGATGTTGATGTAGTTGAAAAAATTGTGATTTAAAATATATAAAAGTTATATAACAGTTCTCTGTGTAGATGGGAAGTCTTGACTTTTTTTGCACATTATTAATAAGGTACGGTCACCTATTGTTCTTCCTATTATAGCTGCCCAAAGCGACGAAAATAGATTCACCAATCGGTTGGTCAAGAAAAAAATAGTTGCAAGACATTGAACTTTTAACACCTAGTTGGTTCCGGAATGATTTCATCGTCAGTCACAGACACAAAAAGAAATTGGCGACAGTGCCAACCATGTCGTTACATTTATAAACACAATAAAATAATTTCATACAGCCAACAGTTATCAGTTGCGTGTTATAAAAATTTGTACATCGTCGATTTTTTAACGATTTGTATAACAATGGCGACGAAAAAATTAATGAATATTATTATTTGGTTTCCCAAGTTATTACGACGATTATTCAGAAGTGAATTCACTCAACATCATTTGACAGAAATATTTCAGACCTGGCATTTCTTTAATTGCCGCTATATATCTTAAAAATAAACAGTAAAAAAGTAAAGTAACAATCAACATCCCACACACCTCTTATTTCTGAAAGTGTAATGGAGAATGACGGCTCCGTGGCGCAGTGGCTTAGCAATGAGTTGTTGCGCCGTGGGCCGTGCGTTCGAATCCCGCACGGAACAAGTATTTGTATGGCCTACAAATTATTGTTCCGGGTCTGGATGTTTGTCCTCGTGCAATCTATGTTTGCAAACTGCCTCCACGATACAAGAGAAAATCCTAGTGTGGGGGTAACGTATTTTTAAAAATAAAAAAATCCGTCCGCCGCGCTATCCAGAAGTTTATTGGTGATTTTAACTTAATATTTTATTTCTCAGATATGAAAGTTCCTTCTCCGTCGAGAATGTTTTAAATCTGATAGTATAACTTATTTTGTTTTCTCTTTTTGCCTTGCATTAAATTTTCTATTTCTGGTTGGAATGATTTTTAAATATTAAAAAGTGTTAGTTTTAATTGTTTAGATTATCACCTGACGGCGTTCCTGGACTTTCGGCAGTACTGAGCATTTCCCACTTGAGCTGCAGCCTGCGAAACTTGCCGCCCGAATTGCCAGCATTAGCGGAGTTACTACTCGCATTGCCGGTGTTGCCACTCGCACAACTTCCCGCTGAACCAGGTCGCCATTCTTCGCCGCTACACTCCAGCTGCAAATGAGTATATTTGAGAAATATTGTATATTACTTTAAATATGTTATCAAATATGAGTGTACAATTTTAATAGTGTACACACATATTTATATTACGGTTATTCAAAATCAAATGTAAGGTATTGAAATTAGTTAGCACTATTATTTAATAGGAATGTTTTACACTAAGGAAAAAGGAACTTCCTTTTACTAAAATAAAATAAAAAATATTACCCTAAACTATTACGGTCCTAATTCAATCACATTGAGCTATTTCAGGGGAACATAATCAAATGTTTTAGAGTGCGTCACCAACAATGGGCATAGCGTGTAGATTAAGCACACCAGGAGATAGTTATAAGTATGTTAAAAACAAATGAATAAGTACCTAATAGCACGTAAGACGTTTCTACAAACATAAAACACACAAAAAATAGTGCCAACAGACAACGTTGCGGCACAAAGTCTACAAAAACGCTACAAAAAACAAAACACCGCTGCAAACTATAAGCGTTTACTTGTCGCAAATAAAAACAATACCTATAAACAAAACATAAAGTCGCTACAAAACGAAGCACACAAAGTATTTCCGACACAGGCCCACAAGTTTACCTTAGGTTCATTCCCGGCTTTAGTGGAGGGCTTGTTATTCTCTAAGCTATCTGTGTAATCGTCACTGTCGTCTAGGATAAGCCGGTCAAAGGCCTGCATCAGCTTCGAGCCGAGTTGCACTCCCGACCATCTTCGATTGTTTTCTAATTCGATTCTGCTGTTACTCGGGCAAATATCGTAGCCGATCGTCGTTGGATTAACACACGATCGCGGTCGATTTTTCTCAACGGTTGTCTTTACATTGGCCGAATCATTCAACAAGTCAGGAGTGGACGGTTCTCTGTTTTTCGGCTCTTTGTGTCTCATAATTACGCTCGTAAGACAATCGTCGCTCGACAACCCGCTGGACTGCATCGATCGGACCAACTTTAGCAGATTCCGCTGATTCAGTGTTAGTGGTGGGGTGTTAATCGCAGAAGGCTGTTAAATATATCAAAGTTCGCTTTAGGTTCATGCATCATGCCGTCGATTAGTCAATCTTGTCCTTTAAAACGTTATCTATCGTTTATTATCCGTCCCTTTATTTGCATTTTATAAAAGCTGTACATGACAGTGAACGCTTTTATATAGATATTGCTTTGGTGATATAGTGAACCGTAAGCACATGCAATAAATAAAATGCAAATAAAGCGATGTCTGTTCAATGTCGATATCAATGCAAATGACATGTACTTACCTTGGGAAAATTTGAATTGAATGTAATATACGAGTATGATAGTATATGTATTGAGAGCATTTATGTTTAATTATAACTATGATATAACTTACTCGGCTGGCGGCACGCATTTCGCTTTCGATCCTCTTGAAGCTTCTATGAAGTTCTCTCATTTCGAACATCAGATCTAATGAGAAGGGCAGTAGTTTCAGAGGTTCCAAACTAGCTAGTAATGTATCCAAAAGCGCCCTGCATCGCGGTTCGCCAATGCAGCCAGCTAATATAATCGAATCCGGGCCATAATGCTTAGCCAAAATGGATTCCCTCGTTCGCACGTAGGACACCCATGCGTCGACTGTCTGTGCACTATAAGAAAAAATACGTTATTTATTATTTATCTTTAAAAATCTATAAAGTTTTTAAATATAAGGAACTTACTTAAGAAGTCCCAGAATGAATGCGTTGAATTTAACAAGCCCTTCCGTTACGGCGTCTTCACTGTTTATTCTTAATACTAATTCATTGAGCGACTTTGTTATCGGACCTGGAATAATAAACGGAATAATTTTTGTAATTCTTACTGATTATAATTAGTTTTAAAATGATTAAATTATATTATGTTACCTTGTCTAGCCGTTGCTTCCACCATTTGCCAAACGGAGTTGTTCACGGCCCCGAATGAAGTTTCGATACTCTCTTTGAGGCCGTCTCTGAATATCGCGTATAGAGCAGGGCACAATGCGTTAAGAGCAATCTTCGCACACGCTGGAGACTGTTTGGAATCCCCCAAGAAAGCCAACTCCGCTTGGTCGGTTGCAGAGGAGAAATGCTGTATAAGCATTTCCACCGCATCCGTAACGTTCGAAACAAGAGCTAAAATAAACGAGATCATTGCAATTACAAACATGAAAGTGATATAATAATATAATATACATACAGAATTTGCAATCGTTAACCAGACCTCTCTTTTGTGAAACGTCTATAATATCATACTTCGATCTTCCCTCGCGATGCGTCGTGGGATTGCTAAATTCATCAGGACTCACTTCTGCTTCTTCACAGATTGGTATTTCGGCTAAATTCTTTCCCTAGAATGACATTAAAATGTAGATAACATTATTCATACATTATAGAAACAACACATACGCAAAGTTGCAAATGAATAAAGCAAAAAAGAACAAAGGAAAGCAATGATATAAATCGAAATAACAGACTGTGACAACAGCTAGCTTCACACAAAAATAAATAAAACTACTAAAAAAGATAGAAAAAATTAAAAAAAAGAACCAAAGATACTTACAGAACTCAACATCTAAGGTGCTGGTAGACAGAATGGAACGTTACAAAAGAAATATTACCTGATAGTGTCTCTGTGTTATAGCAGCAGACATATTAGGCGAGTTGGGTGGGGTTGAGAGACATCCTACTTTAAGTTCATCCATAGCTTTAAGTTGAGTCTGTGGACCATCAACCTTTGCATCAGACTTTTGTGCAAAACTAACTGATTTCTTGCTGTTGCAGCTACTTTCGCTAGAATCTGTCGATCTCTGATTCTCTTCTTGAGATCGTTTCATTTGAAGGAACTTGGTGACCTGACTTCTTACCTTTTGCACTTGATTCTGGTCCCATTCATCCATATTTTGGCAGTTAAATCCGCTTTGCTTGAGGAACTCTTCTAGTTGTTGTAGATCGGCACTGCTGATTAATGCCCCTGGGGGCGGGAAATCAATGTACTCCATTTTCTTTGTCCTCGGCTTAGGCATGGGTGGCGTATGCGGCCGGTGGAATTTTAACTCATTAGATTTCCCTGATTCTAAACTACTCTCAGTGCCTACACCTTCATCTTGGTAATACTCGTTATAATCTGCATCTTTTTCTGCTGCATCAAGGAACTGTTGCGATAGTCTCTTTGCTGCTAAATCATTGTTTTTTCTATAATCAAAATTTTGATTTTGCAAATAGTAAGGTTCTTGAAGAGACCTCCTTTTTGTTTTTTGTTCTGTAATAGCTGTTGCACATATAGTAGGGCCCTGCATAAATTCATCTAATTCAAACATGCTATATCGCTTTGTATGTGAGTTCGATTTTCGAGTTTTATCTATCGATTTGCGTAATATACTCTTTGGTAACGGTGGCCTTGGTGGCACTAACTCACTTTGTTTCGCCAATCGAGTTTGATCAGCCATGGAGAGAGATCTTTTTGGTATAGAAGGGTTAATTCTCTGACCATCGTTGTTTACGCAACTAGCTTCTGAACTAGTAGCAGAATCATAACGATATACAAATAATGGGTTGAAATTCCCAACAGGAGCTGGACTGTTTTGCGCTGAAGAATCAGTAAGCATTGTAGATGAACCTCTGTAGCCTGAAGAGGGTTGAGTTGCTGTACTCGAGCTCGATGACACCGCAGTTGTGTTTCCTGCCAAATTGTTACAATCACAACTCAATGGTCTGTTTTTAGCTTTAGAGAATGGAGAAGCGCTACAATATCTATCAGTACATTTCGACATACCTTCTTTTTCCTTCATGTGTTGCATCAATTCAGGCATTTCAGATAAAAGCTGTTTACATTCTAAAGGTAACAAAAAGTTGAGGGAGTCCCAGTCCTTGATGTGACCAAGACCTTTTTTCTTCAGCACTTCTACATCATTACATGAAAAAGGTCTTTTGCCTTTAATTTGCATCTTACTTCTCTTGCTGTCTGATTTTGGTGATATATTTACTTTTAAGGGATTTAAGTAAATGTTTGGTCTGCCATTTAAAAAGCTGATATCGGGCAGTGTATAGTTAGGATATAAAACGAAAACTGGTTTCTCACAATCTCCTTCTTTTAGTTTTTCTAGGAACGAGGGCTCTATGACTTTAAACAATTCTCGATCACGTGACATGGTTGATACTTGCATACTCGAAGTTTGTATGCTCTTGTCTAGCGTATCATTTTCAAGATGAGTAGATGTTGCTTTATTATCTAACGGTTCTTTTTGCGCAACTTTGTTCATTCTAGTTATTTGCGTGCCGTCTGATTCTGAGCAACTAGAAATGCTTACACTTGTTGCAGAAGATTGAGAAGAGCACGACTTTCTAGTAAGTCTCATTTTCGAAGGGCTATTCACGTTTAAGTTCGTTCTTCTGAAGTGCGGCTTATTTATAACGGCGTACAGATTAGATTCACTATCGCTTAACTTATTGCCGTCACCAGTTTCTTCTTCTTCAATTAGTATTTCTTTAGAGACTCTGCTATAGGCATTAGTTGGTCTTATCTCCTCGTAAACATCAGATATTTCTTCGATTTCATCATTAGGTAGTTCTATTTGTGGCCTTTTTAAATCTTCTATTTTATGTTCTCCTATAGACTCTCCGCTTTCGCCGCCAGAACTTGAAGGCCAACATTCAGATTTATCCAACTGATCCATGGTAACGATTCCATCGTTACTTGTACTTTTTTGTTTCATAAATAATTTTACCAGGTTAAAAGATTGTTTTGGTTGACTTTTATCTGATGAAGTGTGATTTTCCGTCGAGGATGTGCTCATTGGTTCTGAGTGTTGACTTCCGTGAGAGGATCGGTTTTGAGATACATCGTATACTTTCATACATGTTGATGTGCCCGTAAGCCTCTGATTGGTGGTGAAAGAATCGACCTAGAAACGAAAATGTGTTAAATAGGTACAGTCACGACGCGGTTAAACAATTACAAGAACCATCAAGGCATTTAATTAACAGTAACGCAATACACACCGTGGAGTTGCTTAGTGCGGCTGATGCGATCGAGCTGTTCATGAGCTTTCTTCTATAAAGATTTGGCAAACTTTGGCTTTTAATAACTGAATTATTCATTTCGCTTGTTACATTAGTCGTATCATTTGAGTCTTCATTATTGTTACCGGATGGGTGCCTTTAAAGAAAAGTAAATGTAAAGAAAAGTAATGTAGTAAATGTAGTAGTAATAATCGTATACGAACTGCGTTTGCTTATATTATTTAAATAAGGAATTGGATCATACCTCCTTAAAGGGGACTGACTGGTTTGTTTCTTAAGTTTACTCCACGTAGTTAATCCTAAATCACTTCTAGCCATAGACGTAGTTAGTTTATTTGTCAATTTTTTACATCTCTCTAATAATTCTAAATTCCTGCGCGTTCTTTCATCACTCTCTGTAGCTATGTTAATTTCTTCTTTACCTAATTTGTCTGCAAAGATATGAGGCGAATTAGCCAGAAGCTTACCATGATAATGTGAAATTTTGATTCGTCATGTAATTGGTAAACATTGCATCATTGTGATCATGCCTCGAGAGAATAAGCTTTTAGAGGTAAATATAAGGACATTGTTTTTTGATAAATTATCAATTATCTATGTATCATATTAATACTAAATAAGGTTATCAACATGAAAGTGTGACTAAAGCTATATCAGTCACATCTGAGAAAAGATTTATTTTTAAATGTTAGAATACCAAAATATTTCTAAAGGCATAATATGAATCTATATTTGTTCACTTACATCCGATCTCTTGCAAATTTGGATATTTTTTTTTTTATAGAAATAGGGTGACAAACGAGCACACAGTCCACCCGATGGTAAGTGGTTGCTGTGGCCCGTAGACATCTACATATATCCTCGTTTGCGAATCAAAATGCAGATGCGTTATCAGCCTTGAGAACTAAGATGGAATGCCTCTTTTCCAGTAAAAAGGGTTCGCGGGTTCTCCGGTTCTCTACACTCACCATACGAAACACAGCAGCATTAAGCTGCTATTTTACGCTAGTATTCTGTGAGAGCGTGGTCCTTCTCCGGTCGAGCCGGCCCATTCGTGCTACAACTATATTATAAATATAGCTGCAGCTTGGCTCTACCACGTTGAAGATATATTTTATTTTATTTATTCAGACTCGAAACTATATTTTGTGGCAGTTCTTAGGGAATGCCAATGTTTAACAGTGAACTTGTAATGGGATGCTGATGATGATGACCTCAGTTGAATTATTCATATACCTTGACTTTGAATAAGAAAACAGTAAAATAAAAAGTACCATGTCTTTGATTGACGGCTGGTTCGGCGCACTCACTGTCCTCGGAGTAAATGGTGACGCTGCCTTCAAAGGCTATGGTGTAGTTGTCCTTATTGGCCTGGCAGGTGAGGATAAGGTCCTGCTCCGTTGGTAACTCACAATCGAGACTATCCACGCTGAAGTGTACACCGTGGCCGCCCTCCTTGACGGGCGAAAATAGGAGCTCCGATTTGCATATTGACATCGTGTTGATAGATCCAACGGACTCTTCACCCTATTTGTGTTATCATATGTTAATACATAAAACAAATGTATTATGTTTTATTTAAGTAAGTTATTGAGTTAATTACAGGGCCACATTTTTAATCTAATTCGGACTTTTTATAATAAACTATGCCCTTTGAAAATGTTTCAGTAACTGTCGAAATATTTTTAAGTAATTTAGAGTTAATTTATAGTACGTATTAAAGTACTCGTATATATATAGATGGTGTTCGTCCATATTCGTGGGGTATTTAAGTTAGTTCCTGGAAAGTTTCGAAACGTAAACGTGCATTAGTTGGAACATAAACATTCACTTTACACAACAAGTATATTTGTACGCCGGGTGAAGATGGAAAGCTAAAATAAAGTGCTGTATATATAATATATATAGTAATAACATTTTCAACCGACTTCAAAAAAGAGGAGAGGTTTACAATTCGTCGTATTCTTTTTTTTTATGTATGTTCACCGCTTACTCGAAGACGCATGAACCCATTTGCAAAATTCTTTTTTGTTTCAAGGGTGGTTCATTAAAATTTTATAGAAATCGGTCGAACAGTTTTTAAAAATCAACAATAAATTATATTTATATTTTTAATTTTACGACTTGTTATTATGAAAAATACTAATATTGATTTTGTTTCTATACTATTGCAGCCCAAAGGCAAGATACAGATACTCGACTGCAGATAAATGAGACCAGACCTAGACCTAGAGAAGAGACCGGGGGCATTTTTGATATATCGTAATTATTTTTGGGATATTTATCTATTTGGTTGACCACATTCTCATTTTCTTTCCATCGCAGGATCACTCGTATACGGAAAGACAAATGAGCGACTATGTTTGTCATTACTTTTGGCGCTTCTGGGCCTACAACAATTATTTCCAATTCCTAGTAGTTACTTTGAAGTGTTTTCTCGCAAAAACCGACCATAAAAACTTGACTGGTAAAGTTTATCAAGTTGTAATTTGCATTAAATAGACTTAATAATAAGTACATTAGTTAGTTGCTTGTAGCAATACAGGCGTAGCGACGCGGGGCGGGCGTTATCATCAATTTAATTCCTTTTCCTGCTACAATGAGGTCACAAATCAAACAACGACTCATGCAGCTTATAACAACGTTACATATTTCAATAGTATGCTCATTGTAAAAGAGTCATATAAAAAGTACTCATAAATGTATTGTTCTGAATAGTGCGGGTACTTTAACAAATTGTAGATTGGTTCTTACAGAATTTAACGAAAATACTCCAGAGCGTTAATTGCAAGCAATGTGTAATAAACTTAAAAAACATAATAAGTACCTATATATATATATATATATATATATATATATATATATATATATATATATATATTACTATTTCTTATTAATATTATATTGTTGTAGATTTATGGTAAATGAAATATCTATATTTCATTGATGCAAGGATACTTAGCATCATACATCTTTTTTAATCTACCATCCACACTTCTAAAGTCTTTCATTGTAGGTAAGGAATTTAGAGTATTGGCCTATTGTAATGAAAATTAAAAAAAACTTTTCTTATTATTGCAAATGTAATAGATATTAAAATAAGGTAAAAACATATGTTTAATATTTAACTCACTGAGTAGTATCCATTATAAGACTCCCAGTCGTATTCGGTCACACCCATTTTTAATTTGTCCAGTCTCTAAAAACGTCTCTGAAACGTGCTCACTAAATGTTGATCTACTTCCTACGAATAGATTTCAGCCCTACACACTTTACACAATCTTCACACTGTCCTAAATAATAATCACATGGTCCGAAATTATTGCACTATCTCACGCACACACAGTTGTTTATAAGCTCTCGTAAAGAACATGAATTTAAATTTAAAAAATCATATAATATAAACGGATTCATTGCAGGGAAGCGCACGAGAACAACAATCCAGAAAGCCCAGTGCACTGCTACTGGGGCAGCGGGTATATTATATTTAATATTAGCCACTACGCGTGGTTCTCAAACTTTTTTGTTACAATATTATAGCTGCAACTGTTGTTCAGTACCATTATGTTCAAAGTTCCAACTACAACTGCTATAAACGCGTTATCATATAGGCTATAATTAGATAGGTAATGAGTGGGAGAATAATTAACTAATTAACAACTGTTTACACGTGTTAAGTAAATAACAGATACTTGTAAAATTAATTAGTTTACATTTTTAAATGCCAATGTTTAGAAAGAAGTCTAAGAAAACAAAGTTTGGGAACGGATGACAAAATGAATAGACTTCATTGGCAACGCACACATGGTGGCAGTATGTGAACGAATACATAGAGGGCGAATAAATATAGAACACTCGGACAAGCGCAAAACGAAGGGAATGACTGTATGAACGGGGGAATAAAGAGTGTAGCTGAAATGACTGACTTCGTGTATTGGTGTGAACGATATACACATAACGCACACATGTGTAGTGGTCTTATTTTATCTTTACTACTGACTACTGGCACATCCCGTGAGACCAACGTACTATGGGGTTACAAAATAGGAAGACTTGTTATTAATTCAAGCCAAGTATTGTGGACATACTTTCAATTTATATTTGTATGAGCCAACACTCGACTCCTTATTTTCATTACACCTGTGACTGATATATCGTGCTAATAATTATACTGTTAAAACACCTCTTTTTCATTGCTTATAATAGAAACAATAAAATATTACAGATATTTTATAAAAACAACGTTTCGCAACTTGTAAGTAAGACAGGGCGCCGCTTGTATCTGTTATATTAGGTCCTTACATATGAAATTGGCCTTTTGTCGAACTGGCCACAGCTCTCAAATATATGACGTTTGGTTAGGAATTCCAAATTCAAATTTATTTCAAAATTAGGCTTGTGTGTTTGTGTTTTGAATTTAGTGATTCATTTGTTTACGTGCCATTTGATCTTTCTATGATATCGAAAACTTAAAATATTGCGTTATTTAGTTCCACCGTGGCACCGGCGCTGCAGAAACAGGTCGAAAGGTTAATGATGTGTACGGGAAAGCTACTGTAAAAGAAAACATGGTATGTTTTTGATGCCAAGGTTCTGGAAATTTTGACCTACAAAACAAGCCCCGTGGACGGCCGGAGACCTTAATAAATAATGAAGAATTAAAAGTGATCGTGGAAGCAGATCCATCGCATACCACGTCTCTGTGCGTGTTATAAAAAAAATTAATTCTCTTGAAATAAATTGGGAAAATGTAAAAGCTCCTGGGAAAATGGCTACTGTAAAAGCGTTTGGAAAATTGGGTATCGCATGAATTGTGTGATCACACCAACAAACACGCGTGGAGTGCTGCGCTAAATTACTCAACCGTCACAATAACAAGGTGATTTTAAATCATATCGTTACTTGTCAAATGAAATGAATGAAAAATGGATCCTGTACCCAGGCGAACCGCCCAAATCTTGTCCCAAGCGAAAGTTGACTCAGAAAAAGGTACTGATAAGTGTCTGGTAGGTGTCTCTGTCGAATTGTCGTAGCTCAGAGGCTAGGCGCTCGCTGTAAATTACACAGTACGCGAGCAACCCGGGTTCGATCCCCGCCGGTACCATAAAATAGTTAATTGCAATTTTAAGTGCTGATTTACCACGTGCTCGGCGGTGAAGGAAAACATCGTGAGGAAACCTGTATGTCTGAGAAATATGAAAATAAAATATTTCGAATACATGTGAAGTTCGCCAGCACGCATTGGGGCAGCGCGGCGGACATTTGCTTGCACTAAAACCCACTCAGATATGAGAAATGGTCTGTGCCCAGCAGTGTGGGACGTATATAGGCTATAACTTTAAGTGTCTGGTGGACTAATGCTGTTGTCATCCACTACAGCTCTTAAGATCTGGCCAGACGATTACGGTAGATTATGTCAACGATTGTAAACCATGATAGAAAAGCTAGCAGTTAAATAACGGAGACTAGTCAATTGCTCTAGCCCACTGTTGCTTTAGGACAACGCTAGACCACACATTGCACAACAGACGGTCGCTAAATTGGAGAAACTGCGATTGGAATGTCTCCCACAGCCACCATGCTCCCCGGAGCTCGCTCCAATAGATTACCACTTCTTGCGAACGATACGCACGAGCCAATCAGCGCGACTTATGCGCAATAACTGTCACCGCTAGACTTTCGTGCCGCTACTTATACTTTGATTAAATATATTTATAATTTTATAGATTTTCTTTCGTTATGCTTTTTGCATACTTATAGATTAAGTGATCCGTAATTTACGATTATAAGAAAAAATTACCTTAGGGATAACAGCGTAATTTTGTTTTAAGTTCAAATAAGAAAAAAAGTTTGCGACCTCGATGTTGGATTAAGATAAAATTTAAATGCAAAAGTTTAAAATTTTTGATCTGTTCGATCATTAAAATCTTACATGATCTGAGTTCAAACCGGTGTAAGCCAGGTTGGTTTCTATCTTTAAATTAATAAAATATTTTAGTACGAAAGCGCCAATTCCACATGTAAGGACCAATAAAAGCTTCTGTTATAAAAATGACATTGTAGGTACGTGGGCAACTCAGAAAGTTTTTCGAAACTTTTTTAGTTTAAGTTTTTATGATTAAATCTTTTCAAAGAACTCTCCACCAGCATCTATACAAAGTTTCATGCGTCTGAATCTACCTATGACAGTTACTTATTGTACGGCCTGATCGAACGCTGCTATTTTTTTTTATAGGATATGGTGACAAACGAGCACAGTCCACCTGATGGTAAGTGGTTGCTGTGACCCATAGACATCTACATCTATCCTTAATAAAGAATCAAAATGCAGATGCGTTGTCACCCGTGAAGACTAAGATAAAAACCCTCGTTTACAGTAAAAAGGGTCTCCGGTTCTCTACACTCACCATACGAAACAGCAGTGTTAAGCTGCAATTTTACGCTGGTATTCTGTGAGAGCATGGTCCTTCCCCGGTCGAACCGACCCATTCGTGCTACAACTATACTACTAGTACAGCTGCAGCATGGCTCTACCACGTAATAGCTAACGTATTTTTCAGGGAATAAAACTGTATCCCTTCCAGATGATTTTAGGGAATAAAAAAGTCACACGGTACCAACTCAGGGTTGTAAAAGAGGTGACACAAGAGCTTAATTGGTGTGCGATCCAGAAAGTCTCTCGTTTTGATTGCTGAAGCAGTAGCCCGGCCCGGCCCGGTCACTTATTGCTCAAAAAAAGTAAGCACTTATGACAAGCATTTGGTTGTATACCATTGGACATTCATTTTGTAAAGGAATTGACACCGATACCCCGTCACCGATACTGCGTCAAAATAAAAAATAAAAAAAACTAGCGACTAATCATTTTTCACCGTCTTCGGGTGCTTTGTTTCTTGATTGTGTTGGCAAATCTAAGATTCATAACCTGTAATGTCGTAAGCACGCCGAGAAAAACTTGCTTCAAATAAAGTAATCATGTCATTGCAACATTCAAAGCGGGATTCTTTTTGAGCATCACCTATCCTCCTCATGCAAAGCTGAAAATCTCGTGAACGCTTCTCGATCCAATTTGCAATATCTACTGAATCTCTTTATACGAGTACGTAATCTGCCTATTCTCTCCACTTAAATTTTTCACTGCTAGCATCTTTTCTACCATAACAGTGGTCAAAAGGCGACCCCTTCTTTCTTCACCTCTCAAAGTAAGTTGACCGTATTGAAATTTGTTATACCAGCGGTACATGGTTGCCTTAGAAGAGCCATTATCTACGAAGGCTATGTTAAGTCTATGAAACAATTCCTCTGGTTTCAGGTGCTATTTTGAAATCTTAAAAAAACATCGCGCGAATTATGTTCCCTTAATTTATCCTTTTTTTTTAATGAAATTCGAAATTTTAATTTAACTCTTACCTGGACCATATTATTTTTAAAATAAATTATAACTGGCAAACATTATTATTTTTTGTATTTAATTTTCATGTAATTTTCTGAGGGATAGTAGTAGAGTATAGTAGGGTAACATTCAAATTAACACCGTTTTCGAGGATCCTATTACATATTATATTATACATATACAAGAATTGCTCACTTTAAATATAGGAAAATTAATTGAGATTTGATCAAATATAAATATTTTTAAATAATAATGATAATTATTGGAAGTCGACAGTCGATTACCCTTTACAATAAATATTTGCGTACAGCGACATCTAGAAGATAAATCAACGATGAAAATGTTGTACACGTGTTCGTACGAGGTGGCGCACTAAAATAGCAAAATATTTTAAAGATAATGTATATATTTATAGACACATAAACATTTTAGTTAGCAATATTTATACATAATATATCCGCCCCCGGTTGGCACGGGTGATTTCTGGATCTCGACAACAGCGCCAACTACCAGTTCCAATTGCGAATCTAAACCATCTGGGGAGCCAAACATACAAAAAAAATTTCATCAAAAGCAGTCCAGCCGTTTAGGGGAGAGGGTTCAGTGAAAAACACACGTACAAATAAGTAGATGAGGCGAGTCCTGTGAACAGCAGTTAGACGTATGTAGACTATAGTTTTAACTTTTAACTTTAAGTAACTGGTTTCTCGGAAACGGCTCTAACGATTTGGACGAAATTTTGTATTTTTTCTTTAATTACTATTCTAAGCCTGGCTCGACTTCTATCCCACCTGATGGTCGTGGTGATACTGCCGAAGGTGGTAAAGTGCGCTGACATAATAAATAATATTTTACTTATAAAGTTCAGCTAGATACCTCGTATGGTAGGTTTTGTCCCTGAGAAAGTTATTATCTTTTTTTTAACACCGAACAAAGCTCGGTCGCACTGGTACTAGATATAAATAAGCAAAGTTGAAAAAAAACTGTTATATATTTATATATGTTACATTCTTAGAATTTTTGTCTGTTTATCCGTTTGTGCTCAAGCTAAAGGGGGAGCATGATAGGTTGTTGTTACGAGTAATACGAATTAAAATATGTAATTTTAATTTGCAAATAATAGTTGCCTATGAAGTCGCGGTCGTAACATAAATAAGAATTAATATTAGTCGCAAGACTAATATTAATTCTTATTTATGTATCATAATGTATAATATATATATATATATATATATATATATATATATATATATATATATATATATATATATATATATATAGAGTTATGGCGAATGCCTAACATAATTATCGGTTATCGCTACCAAGCTTTTTTTTTATAGTATAGGGTGACAAACGAGCACGCAGTCCACCTGATGGTAAGTGGTTGCTACGACACATAGACATCTACATCTATCCTCCACTACAAATCAAAATGCAGATATGTTGTCACCCGTGAGGACTAAGATGGAATGCCTCATTTCCAGTAAAAAGCGTCTCCGGTTCTCTACACTCACCATACGAAACACAGCAGTGTTAAGCTGCTATTGTACGCTGGTATTCTGTGAGAGCGTAGTCCTTCCCCGGTCGAGCCGACCCATTCGTGCTACAACTATACTACTAATTTAGCTGCAGCATGGCTCTACCATTCTCTAACTATTTCTAATTTGTTTTATGTTATTGTGTAACATATAGGATTGTAAGCTGTTATTTTTTTTAATAGTCCCGCTGGGTTTCTTACTGGTTCTTCCCAGGACAGAGGTTTGTCCGCCCTTTAATTTTATATAAGTTTTTAATTTCTATTTTTATTATTTGTTGTTATAGCGGAAACAACATAGAAACAGCCCGCTGACAGACAGACGGACGGACGGACGGACGGAGGGACAGCAGACTTAGTAATAGGGTCCCGTTGGTTACCCTTCGGGTAAGGAATCCCAAAAAAGGTAACTTTCAATAAATATTATTTAAAATGTATATTGAATAAAAAAGTTTCTGTTTCTGTTTTTAATTCGTTGTTTTAAGGTTTTTAATCACCGCAAATAACCCATATTCTTTCAATAGAAATAAATAAACATCAATGTAACTTAGATCATGCATTCTGAATGTAATTATCTAAATGTCCCAAACATAAAATAGCTTATTTAAATTGCATATAAGTTTGTGTAGAATGATATTGGCTTGTGTGGCATGAATTATGTAACAATGAAAATTTAACATTGAACAGCAAAGCGAGGCGAACCTGAAAACTACTGTGGCCACTGATAGAACTGTCGAACCGAAACTTTTCCATGAGAGAGCTTGAGATGCTCGCGAACATCTCGCCTTGTGGGTTATTCTGCAATACACTATGTTATGAGACTTTATCCACCATAAAAACAGATACTGAAAAATAAACATAATAACCTTTGGAGGGTTTACGTTTTACATACATAAAATATTAAGATTATAAAATAAATATAAATACAGAAACCAGGAGTAGTAAGAAATTGGTTATAAGTATTTATGATATTATGTTATTTCATGGAAGAATTATATCGTACTTTTTCCTAACTTGTATGTTAATGTGCTCTTGTTGTAAATTCCAATAAACACTAAGTATAACGACACCAAATTGTTAACCATTATTCGTGTTAAATATTTTAGTATATATTTGAAATCCACCTGTACCATTATTTATGTCCTAAATAAAATATTATTTTTTCCTCTGGCATTTGTTAGCCTAATTTTTAATTTTTGTTTTCATTTAGGATTATTACGAATACACCTACTCGTTATCCTTTTTATATTCCTTTTTCATTATCTCCCATGCATATACATGGAAGAGCCGTGCTGCAGCACGAATGGGTTGGCTTGACCGAGGAAACACCACGCTCTTCCAGAATACCAGCGTAAAAAATCAGCTTAATGCTGCTGTTTCGTATGGTGGAGCATAGTGAACCGGAGACCCTTTTCAATGAAAACGAAACATTCAATCTTAATGCTCTGGGGTGACAATTGACACAACTGCATTTTGATTCTTAACTGAGTATAGATGTACATATCTATGAGCCACAGCACCCACATACCATCTGTGTGCTCATTTGTCATCCTTAATTCTATTAAAAAATCTGTATTGTGGAAACTGTCTATGAATCAGCCGGTGTTGGGATTACCCTCGTATCTGTTTCTACTGCTAGCAATGCTGGCAATGTTTTGTTGCAGTTTAAAAGGTAATATCGTGGTCTTTGATGGCAACAGCACATCTGTGGTCGTTTTGTAACTTTGAATATTTGTTTATTTGTTTATCCCATTCGTCCGATTACGATTGTTACTATAGTTAAGCCCGTACTGATAAAGTATTTCTGAATTCATCCTTTTCCCTCTCCACTACAATCACGCCTCTTCATATTTTTGGCACAGGTCTAAAAAACCACCTCAACTTTGGACTTAATTTCCTGAATGACTGGAAATAAAGATCGATTTCGTTTAGGTTAGTATTGATTGTTGTAGCCAATATAATAACTATATTTTGTCATGATCATCAGGATTAAACCCATCACAAATCAACTGCTGAACATAGACCTCTCCCAAGAAATGCCACAAAGCGCGGTCCTGAGCCACCTACAGGTATGTAGGTGTGAGATGGACGTAACACAAGACCTTTGTTTTGTCCAGATTCAGTTTAAGACCTATTCGTTGTGAGACACTATTGAGGTAATTGAGCACAGTGGTGAGGTCCTCCAGCCATTCCGCCATAATGACTTCATCGTTTGCAAATCGTATGTGTTGGTCTCTCGCCACAAATTTTGATACCTTATTTTTTGCAGTAGCTTGAAAACATCTTCCAATGCAGCGGGGAAGAGTTTCAGGATATAACGTCACCCTGTTTTATATCTATCTGCAGTTGAATAGGTTTCGTACTCTTTTTCTGTACTCGGATAGCCATCGTAGCCGTTACTCATCAGCCGTGATACAAACACTTCAGCACTTTACAACATCGACGGCCGAATTAGCATCACTGAAAGGACTGTAACACCGCCCAAATTCCTACGGAATCAAAAACTTTCTCATGGTTTACATAGGCAAGACTAAGTGGCAGATTATAAATTGTTTTGCCGAAGGGTATGAATGTGGACTATGGTAGTCTTTGCAGAAACCACCTTGTTCAAGAGGCTGAAATTCGTCAAGTCGCGTGCAAGACATCCGTAATGATTTTTAAAAATAGCACATAGATGTAATTCAAAAAGGAAATTGCAGAAACCACCTTGTTCAAGAGGCTGAAATTCGTCAAGTCGCGTGCAAGACATCCGTAATGATTTTTAAAAATAGCACATAGATGTAATTCAGAAGGGAAATTGGTCTGTAGTTCTTTAATAGAGCGTTCTCGTCTTTCTTAAAGAACAAACCACGACCCTGAAGTAATGTCACCATGGAGAACGGAATCTCAAAGTGCTTCTGGAGGACTACAAGTAAGTACCTATTTTTCACCCGCTTTCAGAACTTCCGCTGTTATTTAATCATCACACGGGGCCTTGTCGTTTTTAGGTGCTGTAAAGCTATTCTGATTCCAACCTCAATCATGAAATGTGATATCATCGGAATAGTGTCGCATAGTGATAATAATGACTTGTTCTTGGACCGTTATTCCACCGATGACGTATACAGCTGCCCACTTCGTTCTCAATCTTACCGTAAAATTGACGAAAAAGGGGTCCCGAAAATGGCGCTGTCGCAGTCGGCCTTCAATTTCACGACTTGGTTCTTTCCAGCAGACAGATCTCTTGCAAAGACCTTAGAACCGTAGTTCCGCCCCATAGCCTCTTCAATACGAGCCGTATTGAAAACGCGTTAGTCTCGGCGGATGCATTTGGATATCTGTCTGTTCAGTTGCGTGTATGCTGTCATATCTGTACAGTGTTGGCGTCATTTCCCGTCTAATAGCCATGATTTGTTATGGAATTTGTCTAGCTTCGTTATTCCACACTTCCAACACTGCATTTTCATTTCAGCATCTTGGATAATTTTAATGTATTTAGTTGTTATTTGCCAAAGGTAAGATAAGCCATAACGTACGTTGCATTGAAAATATTAAAATACTAATATGGAATTTCATATTACAGGTGTGAAATGTATTTTGTGGATTGTTATTACTATATGTTATTTTCAGCTTCATAGTATTTTAAAGAATTATTTAGCTACTTAGGCGTGGTGTAATGCAAATAATTTATAAACCGGGATAGTTATCTGCCGACTTCCAAAAAGGAGACGGTACTTAATTCGACTGTATGTTTTTTTTTGTTTGTGTTACCTCATAACTTTTTACTAAGTGAACCGATTTCGATGATTCTTTTTTTATTAGAAAGCTGATATTTCTCGCGTGGTCCCACAATAAAGGTCAAGGTTGTTGTCAGACCAATAGTTTTTGAGTTATTCTTAATAATTTATATTGAAATCGGCTGTACAACATTTTTAATATTAAATTATGATGTGACAAGTCGCGGTAGCTTATTCGATAAGCGCTGTCCTTAAAATTTCAGTGTACGCGAGAAAGCAGAGTTTGATCTCCTATAAATTATTAATTTGACTATTAGGTGCTTAACTACCACGTGCTTGGTAGCGAAAAAAAACATTGTGAGGAAATCGACATTCTGAAAAGTTAAAAATAATGTCAAGTTTATAGACCCAGAAGTTAGGACCGTGTTGATATAATATTATATAATGGCAACAAAAAGTCATATTACGACGACCTTTTCTTGTGTCTTCAACATGAAGCACGTTAGATTTTTAACTGATTTAATATAGCCACGATGGCATGGGACTTAAATTATATTCCTTTAGTCATTTTAAAACATATTGACGCATCATGATTTCTTATATTTACGCGAACACTACACATTGAATAAAACTAATTTTACGGATTGGGGGACTGAGGTGGTGGGTTAACTCTGACATCGGGACGTCAATCACCTCAGTCCCCCGTAACCATTGGTGCTGTAAAGCATCCGAGACGTCGGGAATGAATAAAAATAAGTAAATTAAACTCGATAAAATCCGTAAAATTAGTTTTATTCATATTGACGCATCCATAAAAAATAGTAATATGTAGTATATTGGACTTTTTTCATTCATTATAAGCAAGTGCTCGATTACAATCCCACCTGATGGTATGTGGTAATGAAGTCCGAAATGGTAAATAGCACTGTCTTAGCGTTACAACAGCCTATATATATTTCGATTATAACGCGCCACACAATATCTTAATAAAGAAAAATCTTTAAAAGCTCACGCTAAAAACCAGCCGGTTTTTTCCATTTATATTATATTCAAACAAAAGCTGTTGATCACGGAAAAATGTACGTTGTATGACTGTTCTTTGACAGAGAAGGACTTTGTCACTCCTCGAGTCCTAAAGGATGTGAAATTCTTCATATTAAAATTTAAACGTAAAATGTTCTTTTTGAGGTTGTAACCTCGGGGCATACGATTCGCCATGTATAAAAATGCCACGCAGAGAAATTAAACTTTAGGTCTGTCATCTCAACTTTCATGGTAATTGCGAATATTGGATTTAATATGGATTTAAACTACCCTGATTGGACATTTCCACATGTCATTTCATCAGCAATGACGCATTACCCTTCACAACATAATGTTTACTTCTGAATACATGTCTGCTATTACAAAAGAAATACTTACTTAAATACATCATTCTCTGTATAGTAATTAACTGTAAATAATGCGTATTTAATTTTAAACTCTCCATAGAAAATTATCTTTAAAGGGCAACGTCATTGTATATAGGTGGATTATATTTATTTTGCATGCAAGGAGCGAGAGCCACGTCTCGTTTTATCGTTAATATATTTATTAACTTTAAACTTTTATGTTTGCAGTGCGAGATAATCTCATCCTGCTTACGAAATCCTCAGACACGGCAATTAAATGTTCACTTGCATAACGTTAAAAGCGTTGAAGTGTGACTTGTGTACCTTCTTTATTTATAAGTTTATGCTTAATTGTTAAGTATATTTAATTACAACGATGGCTATATTGAGAACTTATACTTAGTGTGATAATAATAAAACAATTAACGATTAACAATGAACCTTCTCGAATGTTTTCATTGCTGTTTGTTTATCTTACTAATTTAAAATAATTTCTTATTTAAAAAGTCATTGCATTTATATGTAGATTGTCACGCATAACTCGGCGTGATACGTACAAAACGTTACGTTATTTTTAAAGTTATTGATATTGAACTTCCAACAAATTATGTCAATAATAAATCATATAAATTGATAGTGTAAAATTTGTTTACTCCGCTGTGTTATAAACAAAAGTAGTAGAATTGTAAAACCATCGTGTTCGTGTCACTTACATCGTGTGTTCTATCATCCACTATGGCGTTGTGCGGCAAGTTGGCGGTCATTAGGAGTGCGTGAATGTCTTCTGTCCTGAAGCTCTCCATGTCAGCCTCGGCGAGATTGGCGTCGAGGTCGCGGGCGATGTCGTTGTACCGGGAGGTAAACTCGAAGCGAGAGGTCAACTCGCTTATGCCCTTGTACGAGGCCGACACGGAAGAGAGTACGGACGTGTGGTGGCAGGAACTGTCTCGATATATTGGACTGAAAACGAAAGAAATTTTTTTCGAGTCACTCAATATGTATTTTTTATCACAGTAACGACCTATTTTTAGTAATTTTTACTAAATAAAATCTGCCATAAAATCGTGTGTAGGATATTGCTTACACTAAGTTTAAAGGTAGCACATTTCAGAAAGCATAGCGAACACGGACCCTAATGATTAATTTTTCCAATAAAAAAGGTGCGCCAAATGTACTTAAATAATGTTTAAAAATACTTATTATATTGTTGCTGGCGGATATCCTCATTACAAAGTCTATCACGCAGAGAAACTACAAGCTCCTTGTTCCTTGGTGGAGGCCAAAAATCAGCAGTGGACTTGCGACGATGGCTGTAATGAAGATGATGACTATTGACTTTCGTTCATAAATAATAAACCAAAAGATAATGAATTGATTTTAAAATTAGTCCGCTAGTAAATACTTTTCATATCTCCTTCTTTATCAGTCCGTCAAAGCCCATTGTGATCGTTGGCCTCTGCCATAGTAGGGATGACTTGAGCAAATCATCACACTCACGATAATAAAAAAAAACTGAATGTATTTTAACCGGTTTAATTTACATTTTTACATTTTTAAATTACATTTTTCTTGAGCCTAAAAAATTATAGAAGTGAGCAAATATACAAAAATTGATTGTAACATAAGTGACTAATTGTCAGCATATTTTTTTCATGTGGTAGCTGCGGCGCACGATAATTGAGCACCCAAACGCCTCCTTTAATAGATGGCGGTATATTCTATACAAAATTCCCACAGGCAACGGAAAGCAGCTTTAGAATGTATCAAATCTTGTACTGCGATTGCAATTACGCCTTTCAAGTATGACGATTATATCAAAACTTTCTTATAATGGGAGGCTTATGTACACGCTGTAATGGGTTGGCAACGCAGATTTTTTTTAAGTAAGGTATATGTAAACTCTCCAAAGTTATGGCAAACAAAAGATATTTCGTCGTTAAAAAAAATGACAAAAAGCATTAAGTGAAATACAATTTCCGCAGTCTTGACCTACAATAATCTCATTTCCGTATTGTCGACGCATTCGTAAACAGACATATTTTATTCTATATCTATTGTAACACATAAAACGCATTAATAAAGGCTGAACATGGCTGCATCTAACAATACAGTTTCTAGCATTTCCTGGTGGGATTACTTTCGAGAGCTAGTTCAGATATATTGCTCGAGCCACTGGCGTCTAAAAATGATCTGGGTCGGTGATATTTGATATACAGACTACAGAGATTACTGCAACTTTGCTTTTTGAGTTACGATTTTGATTTGTAAACAACGGGCAGATATGTTAGCCAAAAAGTTTTCCAATGTATTTTGTATGCATTTTGTGTTAACAATCGAAAAATTTATATTACTTACGTATTATAAATACTGTACAGTGGCGGTGTAAGAATATCCACTAACCTTCATAGTCCCGTGGGTGTCGTAAGAGGTGACATAGAGGAATAAACCAAGTGATATGCAACAGTCTCTCCTAATAACAACTAGAAAATAGAAAAACTGTGGTTTGCCAACCCGCAGCGAAGCGTGTCGACTATGGCAAACATCCGCCTTGTGAGGCAAGTTATGAGAACATGTGTTTAGTAGTGGACTTTGACAGGTTGTAATGAATAAACGGAAAACGTATTATAAATAAAGTAGTAGATGCTATTGCCATATTATGTTATGCTTTAAACATCTTATGCCTAGGAAAAGTTACTAACTGCCCACTTAAGCATATATAATGTATGCAGAAGCTTGTAATTATCTCATGCTATTGATATGAAGGTCTCAAATATAAATATTTATATAAATATATTTTGCTTTAAATCAATAAACTAAACAAAGTCTACTTCAAACCACTCCAATAGCGATAACAATATTAAATAATGTTTACTTCTATCAAATTATTTGGATTGGAACAAAGTGTACTTTCTATTCCTTAAAAGCTTTCAAGCGATACCTATTTCTAGTTTTATTTGTATAATTTCTTTAGCATTATATTAGTATTAAAGATAAAATTTAAATGGGTGGCTCAGTGGCATTCACTGTTCGTATTGACATTCATTTTATATTTATGTAAATGCTGTTTTGTATTTTTTATAACATTTAATTATATTCTTTTCTAATATCCGTCAAACTACTTAGTTTAAAAAAATATAATATGGACATTAAATGACAATATGTAACATAATGTAACAGGATACATTTTGATAATGATCCGTGAAATGTGTTGATACCATATTCATTCATTCATTCATTACTGCTTATAACTCCACTGCTGAACATAGGTCTCCCCGATAGAACGCCTCATAGGGGAAATATTTTCCGTAGTTGCCACGGTAAGTAGGCAGGTTGGCCAATCGCAGTTTTTATTATTTGTGTTCTGATTAGAAAGTTGGTGCTACCCATTTTGTTTCTCTCATTTTCTCGTCTCGCCGAAGGTTTGCATGCTAGTATTGTATTGTAACGTAACATTCAGGTGCTTAGTAAAGATATTTAAAAAAATGGTGTATTGGATTCTTTTACTAAACGACCACTACCATATATTTGTAAATAAATATATTCTGATGTGTGGCGGTACATCACGATTTACGATCATTCAATGCATTAATCAATAGGGCATTGATGTTTTTGGGGGAGGCTGAATTAATATAATCAAGGACATAAATGCAAACTGCTCCCAGGTTTCAAGTCATATGGATTTGTGACACCGAAAAATATGTAAGTAATCATAATATGATGTACATAATATACTCACTTGTAGTCGAGGAACCATAGGTAGCCGGAGTTATCGCAGTGCGCATCGAGTTCATCGTGCGCAGAGTGCTGACTACCGGTGAGGCTTGTGTTGCTGTTGCAGTCCTCATCCACGCCTGCCGCCCCGGGGCTCGCTGCCTTCAACCCCAGCCGTGGCGGTGGCCCTGAAATACGATCATTTGTAATTTTAGTGCGAGGAAACATGTTCCTGTTACAGATCTGGTAGTTATAAAGACGCAGGTAACCCGATAAAATTTCATTGATACGCGCGCAGTGCAATCCCCGGCGATTATTCTTAATATTTCGAAAAAATCGAGTTGATAGAAATGGTAAATTATAAGTTGTGATACATATAATTTTTTTTTAATTTAAACAAATTTTTAACATATAAATAAAAGCAGAACAATTCGAACGTTTTTAAAACTACAACAATGCTAAACTAAGGGCCATAATCCCCTAGGAATACCACAAAGCATAGTTCTGAACATTTTCGATAAAAATAATAATAACCTAGTGGCCCTGAGCCACTTCCAACTATTGACTTCCTTCATCTCTAAACAGGTCGTCCCTCCATCTAGTGGGAGGGCCGCACTAAACTTCAATAAAAAAGTTATGCCATCTATTATTTGACTTCCCTAAAACTATTGTACTTATTTTAGATAGTTGGTAATAGCTTTATTAAACTGTGAACTGTAGATGTTCATTTTTTTATTTCTTAAAAAGACCTCGAAAATTTTCAACACAAAAACAACTAAAACAGTCACGCATGAGGAGACACTGCATACTTCCTTAAAGATCGAATTATACACTTAGAATCGTGTTTTTTATGAATACATTAACGTAAATATTTATTTTGAATTTCTATGTTTTTTGACCGCGACTAGAATAATTATAAATACATTACGAAATCTTGTTTTGAGAAGCTACTCAAGAAATTATTGTATTGCGGTAAAAATAATTTTTCATATTTCAGGTACACCCATTTTGTTTGTACATTTATACTAGGGGACTATACCATTGATTTAACATAGATTATCATTTATTACTAGCGATCCGCCCCGGTGTGGGTGATTTCTGGTTCTCAACAACAGCGCCACCTACTGGGTCTAATTGTGAATCTAAACTATTCAGGGACCCACTCAAACACACAAAAAATTCCATCAAAATCGGTGCAGCCGGTTTCGAGTTATAGTGAGACTAAAACCAAATTTGCAGAGAAGCTTCAGAATGAGTGATATAGGCAAATGGTAAAGAAAAATTAATTAAAAAAATCTCAAACATATGTGCTGTCCTTTTTATCTTTTAAATTCAAAATGCGTGGTAATGTTTTATTTTAACTGATTTGACTGCGCACGCACACATTCGTAAGGGTCGATCGGTGGACAAAAACGTTGTTGCCCATAAATCACATTCAATTTGGGATAATTTCTAATAAATGTAGAAGCCTTATTTACCCGTATTTTCAAAAATTGCAACAGTATATCATTATTTATATATTTGAACTTAAGTTTAAAATTTGGCTACCCTTTGAAAAAATAACCCTGTATAGAGATTAAAAATACTGGTCCTGGAACCCATACGCACTGTGTGCATTCCAGTGCCTCATCATAGGGCAGTTTTGCTTTCCATATATGGAAATTAGAAGGTTGTCTCGCACGCGGCATTCAGGAGGCTATTCTTTTGCGTAATATTACAGAATACCTGATGCGCTGCAAAAGCGTGGCAGCCCTAACAACGTCTTTAATATATTGTTGTACTGAATACGTATTGCATTGAGAGATCGGCGAGCACACTTCGACAACAAGCTGACGGTAAAGAATGTCTGATTACTATCAGACATTCTATACCGTCTAAGTTTTGAAGAATGTTATTTAAACAAATCTGTGGAGAAGCATAATCACCTAAATGATCAAAGATGACCCATTGCAAGTGCAAGTTTTTGCTACACATTTATTATAAAGGTGTTTCGAGTTCTAAATACTATTATATGGACTCATCAGGAATATTTTATTTGGATTTGATTGGTGCTGAATTTAATATGAGTGTTATTAAGAATATTCAGACGGCTATATACTTGAACAGAGTGGGTGCTTGGTTTCTACTTAAGGTTTGGCAGAGAAGTTAAGAAGTGTCTTTGAAAACCTTTTACAGAAAAAAGGTGCTGGCAGTAAGTAAATAATGCAGAAAATAGAAGAATGACATAATATAAGGGTTAAATACATATTTCGGATTGATTGGGAAATGTGCATGAGACTCTACAAGACTCTACCTTTGCCTTTCAAGGGCGGTTTCGTGCTGAGTTATTCAGCCTCCACGAGACGTAGAAACAGACTTGTGATATTGTAATGTGATGGATAAATATATGTCTAATATATAAAACATCTGATTCGGACTGGAAAAAATAGGTATTTGATCTAAAGTTTAGACGGACCGGGTTTAGATGGAACTTCGTAAAGTATACTTCAAAGAGATGAAATTTCAAGCCGTAGAAAATCTAAATAACATTCTAGAATGTAAAGGCAATACAATTATTACTTCTAATTACGTATTTGTAGTTTGCTTATTTGTACTCTAAGCGTATTCGCAGTCTTACCTTAAATTTATGAAATTATTCTACGCAGACTTACTACTAAATATTTGAAATAAGTTTTTAAGACGTTCATTCGACTGGCTGTTTCTCAGTTTTCCTTATAACAGCTCTTTGGATTCCCATCAACATTCCCTACAAGGTAAGTGGTCCACCGCGCTCACCCACGCCCCGCCCTGTATAGGCCAAACAACATTTCGCCTCCAAGTATTATTATTTTAATACCTCACTCATGATATTTATAACCTCTTCGTAACTTATTTTCTAGCGGACGCTTGCCAACTACCTACTGGCTATATAAATACTTGTATACGACATAAAGAAGTGATACAATTTAATATGGATATAATCTCTATATTATATAAACATCAATTTCTGTCCGTTAGTCTCGCTAAAACTAAAAAACGGCCTGATCGATTTTGATGCAATTTTTTGTGGAGTCCTTAAATGGTCTAGATTCACATTTTGCCCGGGTAGATGGCACTGTTGCCGAGATCCATAAATCACTCGTGCGAAGCCGGGGCGAATCGCTAGTTAATTTATAAAAGTAAACTACTTAATATTTAAATGTATTAAAGTTTCTTAAAATAAAGATATACTTATTATCACGATTGACTTGATTTTTAATACTGACTATTATTAAGAATTTGAAAGTCTGCAATTCCTACGATTATTTTTACTGCCTCAGGTTTCATCGGAAGAAAACCATCTTTTGTAATAATATACATATATATGTCAAGTAAACAAACGTATATGTATGCTATAATATATGTATTTATTTACTTGACAAGATAAAAAATGTTTTCACAATTTGTTTTATAGAAATAGGGTTACAAAGGAGCACACAGTGTACCTGATGGTAAGTGGATACTATGACTCATAGACATCTACATCTATCCTGAATTAAAAATCAAAATGCAGATGCATTGTCACCAATGAGAACTAAGACGAAATGCTTCATCGAGTAAAAAGGGTCTCCGGTTCTCTACACTCACCATACGAAACACAGCAGCGTTAAGCTGCTTTTTGCCATACTATAAGCTATACTTTGCTGTACTCAGGTTGAGCTTACCCTTTCGTGATACTACTATATATAGACATATATATATATATATATATATATATATATATATATATATATATATGTGTGTGTGTGTGTGTGTGTGTGTGTATGTATATGTATATATGTGTGTGTGTATATAGCTGCTGTATGACTTTATCACGCGTTTGAATATCTCTGTCTGTCCGACCGATTGTATATCTGTAGACTGTAATTCTCTACATGTTATAATCGGTCTGTATCACAGATCGGTATAATATAGTATTATGTTAATCTATACAACCGTATTGATCGTTTAAAATTATAACGTAATTCTTAAAGAACACGTTATTTAATTTTTTTTTTACTTTTATGAATTGACCTACTTTGCATCTTCTTATTCAATATACATTATCAAACCACATGAATCCAATGAATATTTTATCATTCCATTACTCGTATAACTTCCGCTAAGAATTTGAAATTGTAATTTCCACTACATGTGGCTTTCAACAGTATAACTTTCCATGGTTTTTTTAAGTCCCTACTTACGTTTTACTGATCGGTATATTTAACTATTTGTTTAAGTTTGGTTTATTAAATTACCTAATTTACTTTATTTTTAACAATAATTGCATCAACATGCTTATATACATTGCTAAAAATATCTTAACAAAAACAATATCATTACCAATCACCTACCTAATGACAATAATCTTTATTGGTTATAAAGTATTTGTATTCTCTTGATCACCTTTTTAATTTTATAAATTCAAGTCTTGGAAGGTTTAAAATTCGAAAAGAAAAAAATAGTCGATGTCGAAACTTAATCCGAAAGCCAGATTTCACTATTAGATGTACGAGTACATCAGTTTGTCGAAACTGAGACGCAGTCACGCTCTGTGGAAGGTTGTTTTTGCCGGTACTTGTCGCGAACATACCATTGTTAAACCAGATCTATTATTATTTTTGCTTCTGACCTTATACAGATTTTTTAGACAAATCATAGATTAGTGCCAACATATGTTAATTTAAATATATTAATATGATAAAATGTTGTGCTCAGCATGAAACCTCTCCGTGCCTAAGGCACAGGTAGTCTTGTAGAGTTTCATGCACAATTCCCAATCAATCTGGAATATGTATTTAATCCCCCCATATGTCATTCCACAATTTTCTACATTATTTACTTACTGCTAGCACGTTTTTTTCTGCAAAAGGTTTTGAAAGAGACTTCACATCTTATTTTCTACTTAAGGTTTGGCATGCAGCGGAGTAGAACGATGCGTTCGGCGTGCATGAAAAACACACGCTCTCTGTCTGACTTGTAAGTCGCAGGTGACGCCACGCTGCACGCCGCTAAAACGCCATACGGGCAGACCTATGACCGCGCTTAAATTTATTACACCAAAAGTAAACTGTTGGCTTGGAAGAACTTATATCTTTAAAATATATTTGGAATTTAACAAATTCGTTTTCAAGTTTTAAGATAGCGTGTAAATAAATACTAGCAAAAATACGTTCTACGTCATTGAAAT